AGTAGAAACGACTATTTATTAGTAAAATCTGCTAATTCAATTAAACAAAAAGTCAGTCACTATAATTCAAATTAGAAAACATTTTTACTAACTGAAATTTACAGAGTTAAATATTCAATTATAATCTACAATTTTAACTGAAATTCATATTTAAATTAATTTTTATTAGAAAATTCGACGAGAATTCAATTATTTAAATACAAAAATAAATAATTTTTTAAGCTATTGAATTTTTTTTTAAATTGAACTCTTATTTAAAGAATGTTATTAAAAAATTTTTAAATAGATAATTAAAATTCTCTTGACGAATTTCAATAAAGTATTTTAAGAATAATTACATTTTTCGAGAAATTAGATTAAAATTATATTAAAAATAATTGAAATCTCTGTAAAAAAAAAATTTCATTGAATTGAGAAAAGTTTTTGAAAATAATTGAAATTTTGCCAAGAATTTTATTAAAATTTTTGAAAATAATTGAATTTTGGAGAATAATTATACATTTTTCAAGAAATTCCATTAAAAATTTGTATAAAAAATAATTGAAATTCTGCGATGAGTTTTATTAATTATGAAAATAATTGTAAACCTATAAAGTTTTTTTTATTATTTATGAAAATAATTGAATTCTTGTTAAGAATTTTATGAGAATATTTAAAATTAATTGAATTCTTGACTAAAAATTTATTACTTATGAAAATATTATAATTCTTGCAAAGCATTTCATTAAAATTTTTATAATAATAATTTTGAATTTCTCACAAGAATTTTATTAAAATATTTAAAAATAATTAACTTCCTCTGAATTTTTAAAAATAATTGAAACATTTCGAGAGATTTTATTAAAAATTTCTTGAAAATAATTGAATTCTTGCCTGTAATTTTATTATTTGTGAAAATAATTAAATTTCTACGGAGAATTTTTAAAAAAATTCTTTTCAATAATTGAATATTCCTGTCAAGAATTTTATTATTTATGAAAATAATTGAATTATTTTAAAGGATTTTATTAAAATATTTGAAATTAATTAAATTCCTTTCTGAAAATTTATTATTTATGAAAAGAATTCGATCTCTGTAAAAAGTGTTATTATATTTATGAAAATAATTGAATTCTTGCGAAGAATATTTATTGAAATTTTTAATAATAATTGAATTCTTGTCCAGAATTTTATTAAAATATTTAAAATTAATTGAATTTCTGTCACAAAATGTATTATTTTTGGAAATAATTGAATTCTTGCGAAGATTTTCATTTAAATTTTTTTTATAATAATTGAATTTCTGACAAGAATTTTATTATTTGTGAAAACTAATTGAATTCTTGTCAAAGAATTTATTACTTATGAGAATATAATTGAATTATTGCTAAGAAATTTATAAAGAATTTGTAAATAATTGAATTCCTGTCACAAAATTTATTATTTTTGAAAATAATTGAATTATTGCGAAGAAATTTTAAAGAATTTGTAAATAATAGAATTCCTGTGAAATTTTTATTATTTAATTAATTAATTAAAAATTGAAATTTTCTAAAATTTAAAATTAAAACCTTTTTAAGTTTATCTATTTATAAAAATTTTAAACGCAACTCTTTTAAAATTGAATAAATTTTGAAATATTTAAGAATAATTAAATTTCAAGAATAAGCAGAATAATTTTCGAAAACAATAATTTTTTTGGATTCTGTATGAAAAATTAAATAACGCTTGTTTCGTACTAAAAATACTTGATTTAACACGTTAACAAAAGTAGCATAACTTAATAATGAAACAATTTAGGAGTAAATAGCAGCAATATAACTTTATTTATTCTCTCTGAATTCGTCAGGGTTCGAGGACCCAAATACAATTTGCTTACAAGCTAAAAATGTATCAAATTATATCATAAAATTATATAAATATATTATAAATATATTATATATTATTATATATTATATATTATATATTATATTTATATCATATCATATATATATCCTCTTTAATTAACTGATTCAATTATTTGAAAAGTAATATTATATATTATAAGCACAAAGTACAATAAAGTAGCTATTATTACCCTAGGGTAATAATGAATACACACGTGGATAAAATAGCAATAAAAAGCCTGTTACATAAGAAAACTAATAACTAATATTATGCATATTATTCATAATACATATAAAAAATAATGCAATTTAATACAATTGAAGTAATTTTAGAAAATTGCTGCAAAGTTAAAGAAAAAATTTTTCTATTCAATTGATTCACATTTTGCTTTCTCATGGAAATTTTTTTATTTGAAATCTACAAATGTAAATTTTAAAATGAAATGAATAAAAATTAGCATCTAAAAATTATTTATTTATTTAGTATATTTATATTAAATAATTTATTATATAAAAATACTTTTGAAAAAAGAAATTCTCATATTTTTTGTGTTCTAATTTTTTTAAAATCCAATTATTTTCAATATTTTCAATTACATCTTTCAAAAAATTCAAGTACATGAAAAAAATAATAACATTACATTTTTTTAGAATCATTTTCAGCATTTTGGAAAAAGCAATCATGTTAAAAATTTCAAATTAATATTCCTCAAAAAAATTAATTTATTTCTCTAAATTAAACAAACATTTTTTTTAAGAATTTAAATTATTTTCGAAAAATTATATTACAATATTTTTAGAAAACGAATTTTTTCAAATTGTTTATCATAATTAAAAGTAGGTAAATTAAAATTTTTTTAAATTTACTTTTTTATATTTATTAAAGTTTCGAAAAAATCATGTAGATATTTTTATAATTATAATCTCTTCAAAAGTTTGATTATTTGAATAAATATATTTTGATTTTAATTAAAAAATATACCTACATATTTTTCAAAAATTAAATTACTTTAAAAAAAATTTTAACAAATTTCAATTGTTTGGAAATTTTTCCATTGTATATAATTGAAAAACTATTGTTTTTCAAAAATTTATTTAAAAATATTTGCAAAAAATTAATTTTAAGAATTTCTTTATTATATTTTTTCTGAATATAATTATTATACCTTAATCCATGGACAGTTACAACTATTATAAAAAATTTAATTTTTGTATTTAAATAATTTCGAAAAGAAATTAATTATTTTTAATGAATTTAATAAAATTCTTCATGATAATTTAATTATTAAAATAAAAATTCCTTTATTTTCATAAATAATAAAATTCTTGAATGGATTTCAATTATTAATTTTAGGAATTCTTTTCTTCTTTTTTAAATATACCTTAATAACGTTTTTAAGAAAAGAAACATGAAAAGTTACAATTGCAATTATTATAAAAAATTGAATTTTTATATTTAAGTAATTACAGGGTTGCCACGCTTTTGCTAATTTCACATTCCCTGACTTTTCCATGTTTTCCAGGTTAAAAAACGGAATTTTTCCAGGTTTTTAAAACTACATTTATATTTTACAAAATTTTCTATTCTAACCTTTTTGAAATTAAACAACTTATAAAAAATTGTTATAAAAACATGAAAATATCGATCACTCCGAGGCTGCGACTCGGAGCAATCGATATCATCATGTTTTATAAAATAATTAAAAATGTTGGACTGATAAAATCATCATTTTATACCTATTATAAGAATATTGTTACTGTAACTTATTTAAAATTACGTTCATTATTTTTTGTCAAGAATTTTATTAAAATTTTTTTTAAATAATTGAAATATTGCCAAGAATTTTATTAAAATTTTTTTTAAATAATTAAATTTTAGAGAAAAATTTTAATATTTAGAAAAAAAATTGAAATTTTGACTATAACTTTTATTAAACTTTTGACCATAATTGAATTTCTGCTAAGAATTTTATTATACTTTTGAAAATAATTGAATTCTTGAGAAGAATTTTATAATAACATTTCTTTTTAAATACCTAATTATTTTTAATACAAAAATAAATAATTTATCGAATAATTGAATGTTTCTCAAAGTTGAATTCTCATAAAGAATTTTATTAACAAATTTTTAAATAATTGAATTCTTTTGACGAATTTTAATAAAATTTTAAGTATAATTACATTTTTCGAGGAATTCGATTAAAATTGTATCAAAAATAATTGAAATTCTGCAATGAGTTTTATTATCTATATGAAAATAATAATTGAATCCCTGTAAAAAATTGTATTACATATTTATAAAAATAATTGAATCTCTGTAAACATAAATTGAATATTTTTGAAAATAATAAAATTATTGCGAAGAAATTTATAAAAAAAATTTTTAAATAATTCATTTCTTTTGGAAATTTTCTATTAAAATAGTAGATATTGAAAATCATTGAGTGGAGGAGAATTTTTGAAAAAAAATTGAATTTGTTAAAAAGAATTTCATTAAAATTTTTGAAAATAATTGAATTTCTTTGATGAATTTGAATAAAATTTTTAAGAATAATTATACATTTTTCGAGAAATTCCATTAAAATTTTATTAAAAATAATTGAAATTTTGCGATGAGTTTTATTATTTATGAAAATAATTGTAAATCTATAAATTTTTTATTATTTATGAAAATAATTGAATTATTGCGAAGAAAAATTGTAAAGGCAACTCTTTTAAAATTGAATTAAGAAAATTGAATTAATGAAAAATTAGATTTCAAGACTAAGCACAGTAACTTTAGAAAACAATAATTTTGCAGGATTACAATCAAAATTCCCTGACTTTTCCAGGTTTTTTCAGGGTTTATAAAAATTCCCTGACATTTACAGGTTTCCAGATTGCGTGGCAACGCTGGTTAATTGAATTCTCGGAGAACTTTTATCGGAAATATTTTTTAAAATTGTAGAAAACATTTGAATTCTGAATGAATTATAGTTGCAATTGTTAGAAATTATTAAATTTCAGAAGGTTTTAAATTGAATTTTTTTTAAATTTAAAAATTTTTTTGCTTGAATAGTAAATAAAAATTTGCAAAAAAGAAATTTCGATTAAAGAAAATTATCACTCTACATTCTAAGACTTTAAATTCTCTTACTTTCAATTAAAGCAAAAAAAAAAAAAAAAAAAAATGAGTTGATTTTAAGAAAAAAAACATGTTTTCAGACAATAATTATCCAATATTGGCTGCCAATAATTGACATTGAAAAAACATGTTGGCAGAGAATATTTGACCCATTATTTAGTCCATGATAATCATTTTTCATTGGGAAGTTTTTCGAGAAAACAATTATTCCATGAGTAAGCAATAATATAATAAAATAAAATATTATGTGGTTCAATAGGAGTTGTTGAAAAAATGTTGCATTATGTTTAATTACAAGTTAGAAAATTAGGAAAAAGATTAAAGCAATAGCTCCTAATAAACCACCCACTAAGACAAGTAATTTATGCTTGAAAGTATTGTTTCCACCTTCTTTCTTTGCATCTAATATATTTATTAGTTCAGTTTGTAACCTTGATATCTCTTTCTCACCTTCGATTTGTACTCGGTTGAATTCATCTTTAACATTCTGTAATTCTTTTTCGGAGTCCCGTACAAGAGATTTCATGCTGTGTGACTCCAGGAATGCATGTAAACCATTTAGTATAATTTTTATAAGCGCATCTACTTCAGTTATCCCATGAGATATCAATATGCCATCAAGAAATATTATTAGAATATAATCTGTTTGCAATTCATAGTTTTCAATTTTCTGCTTTATAATATCACTAATATTTTTCAAATAATTAAATTTCTTTGCAAAATCCTGTTCATTATAAGCCAATTGCATTAGTGCCAATTGTCTTTTTAGTTCTGATTTTTTCTTTTCGTTTCCCTCCAGTGTTTCTAAATAATTTAAGATGTCAGTTGTTATCATTTTAATTTCCTTACCCAAATAATTTATATAAATATAATATGGAGTTAACAGCACCTGGTTTAGAGATGAAAGGAGGCAACTTTTTGATTCTGCATCTAGGCTTAATTTAATAGTATCGAGAATACCGTTCGATATATTTTGGGAATTATTAATTGCCTCCTTAATATTAATATCACATTCTTCACCGACAGTACCTTCCTTGTTTGGTGCCATGAACAGGCCAATACGATTTTCGTTTTTTACTAAATACTCAACAAATCTCTTTGATTGACCATCTGGCATATTTTTCAAATTACCCTGGAGTTTAGTCATGACCTGATGTGTGTAACTAGAATCGACATTACCCTCATTACTTGAATGAGGTACTTTTGTTAAAATTACTGATATGCTTTCAAAAATGTTTTCAAATTTATCTCCAAAGAAAGTGCTAACCCATTCTATCAAATTAAAAAAGTGTGTGTAGGGTTCATTGAATGTTTCATGGTCGACAACTAAAACGATTTTTGCAATTTTAACTTTTGTCAGCAATTCTTTAATATAAAAGCTATTAAGAACTTTTTGTGATACTCCTCTATTATCCTCAAAACCAGGAAGATCCCAGAGAGAGAATTCGGTAAAAGTTTTCGAAGACCACTTTTTTGGAATTTTCGTATATGACGTTGAACTAGTACCAATTATCGGTCCAGTGGAATTTGGGCCATTTCTTTGTATTGTTAATGAACCGTATTTATCTCTTACAGCAGTCAATTCATTGGGGATTAAGTAATTAACCAGGGTACTTTTCCCAGATTTTGCGTTGCCAAAGAAAACTATTGCACTTCTTGAATCCAAATCATTATTCAGAAAATCCTTCGTCTCATCTACAGAACTTTTCAATTTTTTTAATGATCTATGATCTAATTGACAATTTCTGCTTTTGACTAGTGCAGTTAGTAAGCAAATGATCAATATTCTGATCATAATTAGTTAATAATATTTCTCTAATAATAGAATATAATAAGGTGATTGTTACCAAATTCTGATGAATTTATTTGTCCTGAAAAATATTTTAAAAGAAAATTAATAATTAATGAAATTAATAATAAACCGGAAGGAGACAGTATAAATGCAGTCACTGTAATATTCCACAAATACTAATTTTGCATATAATCTTGCAGCAAGCTTAAAAGTATATCTTTAGAAAAGCTTGTCGTGAAAGCTTGCAACAAAATTCCATTAATTTTCCTGAATGAGCTAATATTTAATTATAATTCCTATATTATAATATTAAACTAAATAGAAATTAAATAATTAATTATATTAAATGTTAAAAAATTACTAAATAATAATTTAATATTAGTTTACATGACTTTTTTTGGGTACAGTGGGTGATTTTATGGAATTTTGTATCAAAATCATTGAACTCTGAATAGAAATGTCATAAATGGTTAAAACCTTTTAAAAAAAAGTATAAGTTAGAGTCTACAGATTAGAGAAAAATTAAGAAGAAGCATAAAAAGAAATTTTATAACTTTCAAAAATGTACATGGAAGTCAGTAGAGGGATCCATGATTCTGTAAGTTTAAAAGTTGTATTTCTTTAAAACAACTGTTCTAAGTAAATTTTGAGGCAATTGATTCATCCCTGGTAAAAATTTCGGACTAATTCCGGATTAAATATGGACAGATTAGTACGGATTAAACCGAAAATTGTCTAAAAATGATCCGCGTTAGTCTGATATCAATCCGAACAAAATCCTGAATCTGAAAACAAAACCTGAATGTCTACGAATTCAGTCGGCAATTAGTCCGCAATTTTGTAATTTGACTTTTGACTTTCGAATCGATTTTGACATTGACTTCCTCTTTTATTTACACTCTGATTTTGACTTTGACATTATCTTTATGACTTTCAATTTTGCTCTCACTTTGACTTTCGGTTAGATTTTGACTTTGACATTTACTTTTTGACTGTAACTTTGACTTTAAACTCGATTTTGATATTGACGTTGAATTTTTGACTTTGAATTTTACTTTTGACTTTGCTTTTATATTCGATTTTGACTCTGACTTTGACTATTTGACTTTAACCCTGACTTTCGATTCAATTCGTCTTTAAATTCAATTTTGATATTGACGTTGCCTTTTTGACTTTGAATTTTACTTTGACTTTGATTTTATATTCGATTTCGACTCTGACTTTGACTATTTGACTTTAACTCTGACTTTCGATTAAATTTTGACTTTGAATTTTACTTTTGGCTTTGAAATTTACTTTGACTTTGATTTTATATTCCATTTCAACTCTGACTTTGACTATTTGACATTAACTTTGACTTTAAATTCAATTTTGATATAGACGTTGAATTTTTGACTTTGAATTTTGAATTTCACTTTGACTTTGATTTTATATTCGATTTTGACTCTGACTTTGACTATTTGACTTTAACTTTGACTTTTGATTCAATTTTCAGATTGACGTTGACTTTCTGGCTTTGAATTTTACTTTGACTTTGATTTTATATTTGATTTTGACTCTGACTTTGACTATTTGACTTTAACTTTGACTTTTGATTCAATTTTCAGATTGACGTTGACTTTCTGGCTTTGAATTTTACTTTGACTTTGATTTTATATTCGATTTTGACTCTGACTTTAAATTTTGAATTTCATTTTGACTTTGATTTTATATTCGATTTTGACTCTGACTTTAAATTTTGAATTTTACTTTGACTTTGATTTTATTTTCGATTTTGACTCTGACTTTGACTATTTGACTTTAACTTTGACTTTTGATTCAATTTTCAGATTGACGTTGACTTTCTGGCTTTGAATTTTACTTTGACTTTGATTTTATATTCGATTTTGACTCTGACTTTAAATTTTGAATTTCACTTTGACTTTGATTTTATATTCGATTTTGACTCTGACTTTAAATTTTGAATTTTACTTTGACTTTGATTTTATTTTCGATTTTGACTCTGACTTTGACTATTTGACTTTAACTTTGACTTTTGATTCAATTTTCAGATTGACGTTGACTTTCTGGCTTTGAATTTTACTTTGACTTTGATTTTATATTCGATTTTGACTCTGACTTTGACTATTTGACTTTAACTCTGACTTTCGATTAAATTTTGACGTTGACTTTTTGACTTTGAATTTTACTTTTGACTTTAATTTTATATTCGATTTTGACTCTGACTTTGACTATTTGACTTTAACTTTACATTTAATTTTCACATTGACGTTGACTTTTTGGCTTTGAATTTTACTTTGACTTTCATTTTATATTCGATTTCGACTCTGACTTTGACTATTTGACATTAACTTTGACTTTAAATTCAATTTTGATATTGACGTTAAATTTTTGACTTTGAATTTTACTTTAACTTTGATTTTATATTCGATTTCGACTCTGACTTTGACTATTTAACTTTAACTCTGACTTTTGATTCAATTTTGACTTTGAATTTTACTTTTGGCTTTGAAATTTACTTTGACTTTGATTTTATATTCCATTTCAACTCTGACTTTGACTATTTGACATTAACTTTGACTTTAAATTCAATTTTGATATAGACGTTGAATTTTTGACTTTGAATTTTACTTTGACTTTGATTTTATATTCGATTTTGACTCTGACTTTAAATTTTGAATTTTACTTTGACTTTGATTTTATTTTCGATTTTGACTCTGACTTTGACTATTTGACTTTAACTTTGACATTTGATTCAATTTTCAGATTGACGTTGACTTTCTGGCTTTGAATTTTACTTTGACTTTGATTTTATATTCGATTTCGACTCTGACTTTGACTATATGACATTAACTTTGACTTTAAATTCAATTTTGATATTGACTTTGAATATTACTTTGACTTTGATTTTATATTCAATTTCGACTCTGACTTTGATTATTTGACTTTAACTCTGACTTTAAATTCAATTTTGATATTGACGTTGAATTGTTGACTTTAAACATTACTTTGACTTTGATATTGTATATTCGATTTTGACTCTGACTTTGACTATTTGACTTTAACTCTGACATTTAATTCAATTTTGAAATTGAAATTTTAGACTTTGAATTTGGCTTCGATTTGATTCGATTTTAACTTTATGAGTTTAACTTTGTATTTGACTTTATCTTTGACTTTAACTTTGACTTTCACTTTTAATTTGATTCAAACTTTGACTTTCGATTTGATGTTTACTTTGACATTAACTGTTTGACTGTTACTCTGTCTTTCGATTCAATTTTGACATTGACGTTGACTTTTTGGCTTTTAATTTAACTTTAACTTTAATTTTCAATTCGATTTTGACACTGACTTTAAGTTTGACTTTCGATTCAATTTTGACATTGAAACTTTTGACTTTGAATTTGACTTTAACTTTGAATTTAACTTTGAATTTGATTTCAACTTTCGATTTGATTTTGACTTTGACATTGACTATTTAACTTTTACTTTGACTTTCGATTCAATTTTGACTTTGAATTTGATTTTAACTTTCATTTTTATTTTCACTCTATGATTTTGGCTTTGATTTTGAATGTCAAAGTGTAAATGAATGTGAAATTTAGTGTCAGAGTGAAAATGAAAATCAATGTCATAGTAAAAATTGAATTGAAAGTCAAAGTCAAATTACAGTTAAAAATAACTGATTTAGAAGCAAAAAGTCAGTCACTATTTCAAATATTAATATTTTTACTGACAATTAGTTAAAGTAACTGATGTTTCAGTAAATTTTTTTTTACTTATTCAATTAGTCAAGTTTAACTAATTTTTTAGTTATTTTTTACTGAAAAACAGTTATTTTCAATTGATTCAGAAGCAAAAAGTCAGTCACTGATTGTCAGTTAAAAACATGTTTTTTAACTGATTCACATTAAGAGAGTAGGGGAGATAGGGGATTTCTGGGTCACCTCCATTATTTAACAATTTATTTCAAACTTTGATCATACAATTTTTTTTTTATTTTCTTTTGTTCCTTCGAAGTAAATTTTTTATAAGCATTTCATATCTTTACAACGCTTTACAATTATCTATAAGCCGTAAACAACAACCACCTGCAAAATTGCGTTCAAATATTTATTTTGTGCATTCATGTTTTTATTGCTTTTACAAGGATTTTCAAGAATCACTTAAGAAAAATATTTTTTTAATTTAATTCAGGCAGTGGCTTACAATTCACCAACATTTTTAAAAATCATAAAAATGCATTTTTTTTTGTAAAACCCACTACAAACAATTTTCTTGTAATGACCATTAACTTTTAAAAGACTTGTCCTCCATATTAGATCGACCATTTTGTATTTTGAAATACTGATAACATATTCGTAATCAGCAACCAAAAAAAAAAACACTGGAAACAATTTCCAAGTGTATCCGATTGATTAAAAAAAAAAATCGTCTTCCATTTCCAGTTATTATTACTAATTTGTAAAAATTCCAAAAACAAAATAGAGAAAAGCCAATTTCTATAGATTTGGCAGTTTTTATTGGTATTATTTATTGTTAAATCAATAAAGTAAATAAAATATTAAATTAAATTTGCCTACTTATAATAACCGATAAATGTTAAATCTCAAATCGCTATTTTAGCAATTGTTTAGAAAAATAATTTATTGTTGTTATTTAGTAACTTTTTTTCTATTGCTCCTTGAAAGATGCAGGTTTTTTTTCTAAATTTGCAATTTTTGGACCTTCTTATAATAACCGATAAATATAAAATGTCAAATCGATATTTTATCAATTGTTTAAAGGTTTAAACAAATAATTGTTATTTATTAACTTTTTTTCTATTGCACCTAGAAACATGCAGTTTTTTTTCTAATTTTGCAATTTATGAAGCTAATTATAATAACTGACAAATATGTGAACCAATAATAATTAAACAATACTGATTTTCTTATTTATTAGATTACATTTGATAAATTGCAAAATTAGAAAAAAAACTGCATGTTTCTAGGTACAATAGAAAAGAAGTTAATAAATAACAATTATTTGTTTAAACAAATGAAAAATTTATCATAACGTTAATAAATTAAATTACTAGAGGGGCAACATAAATAATGAATTAGTACTAGGTGTTTCTTTAAGGACAATTTCACAAATAACATAAATTTTAAGCAAAAATAAAATAAATCTTAATATAACTTTTTCATTTTTAAAAATATTGCGGACTTTAGTCTTATTGTAAATATGAAGTGAATGCTTACAGTATTGGTGATATTTTTGTTTGTTTTTTCTGGAGCAGTAAGACCAACTTTATTCGTCCGTACTTGCTCAAATTCTTAACATATGTGGCAGAAAATTATACGTGGCATTCACAAATATCTTGTAATTTCACGAAATTTAACAATTTTTAAAAGCAAATATAATATGTTAAGAAAATCTTGAAATTTTATGCGATTCTTAACCAATGAAAAACTTGCAGGTATTTCAATAAGATAATGGAAAATATTAAATTTTATTGTTCAAAGCGTATAAAAAATATTTTTTCAAATATGAAAAAATATTGACAGTCATTAAAACATATCTCTCACAATAATAATAAAATTATAAAGCAAAATTGAAAAATTTTCATAAAAAAAAGTATGAATTATTTCTTTTTCTTATACTGATATTATTTTAACAATTTTTTAAATTAAATTTTCATAAATTTTCCAATGTTTCATCAATATTTTAGATTTTAAACATAAGAATTTAAATATATTTATAAAAGTAATTTAATTCTTGTGAAAATTTTTTTAAAAATTTTTAAATAATTGATTTTTTTCGACTCTTTTTATGCAAATTCTAATTTAAATGATTGAATTTCTGGGAAATTTTTATTATTGATGAAAAAAAATTGAATTCTTACGAAAATTTTTACAAAATTTTTTTTAAATAATTGAATTCTGTTTGGAAATTTGATGAAAATAATAGATATTAAAAATCATTGAATTGCGAAAAGTTTTTTAAAATAATTATTGAATTTTACAAAGAATTCTATTAAAATTTTTGAGAATAATTGAATGTCTGTGTGGGATTTTATTAAAATTTTTTTTAAAATAAATGAAAAAAAGCATTTTATTTTATTTTTTTAATTTTTTTCTAAAAAGCATTTTATTATTTATGAATATAATTGAATTCATGCGAACGATTTTTTTAGAATTTTTTAAAATAATTGAATTTACAAGAAAAAATTTATTATTTTTAAAAATAATTGAATTCTTGTGATGAATATTGTTATTTATGAAAATAATTGAATTTTTTAAAGAAATTTATTAAAATGCCTTAAAAATAATTGAATTTTTCGGAATAATTTTGTTATTTATCGACATAGTTGAATTCTTTCGAAAAATTATTTATGTAAATAATTGAATTCTTGAGAAGACTTTTATAAAAAATCTAAAAGAATAATTGAATTATTTCAAAAAAAATGTAATTAAAATTGTATTTAAAATAATTGATTTATTTCGAACAATTTAATTAAAATATTTGAAAATAATTGACTTCCTGTGAAAAATTCTAAAATTTTTGTAAATAATTTAATTCTTCCAAAGAATTTTTAAAAAAACATTTTTTTAAATAATTGATTTTCTCGAGGAATTGAAATCAAATTTTTAAGAATATAATTACATTTTTTGAGCAATTCCTCTAAAATAGTATTAAAAATAATTGAAATCCTACGATGAATTTTATTGTTTATAAAAATAATTGAATAGTTGCAAAGAATTTTATTTAAATTTTCCAAAATAATAGAATTCCTGAGAAGAATTTTATTAATTATAAAAATAATTGAATTATTACAAAGATTTTTATTAAAATGCCTCAAAATAATTAAATTTTCAGCAATAATTTTGTTATTTATCGATATAATTGAATTCTTTCGAAGAATTATTCATGAAAATAATTGAATTATTGCGAAAAATTTTATTAAAATGTTTTTAAAATATTTGAATTTCTGTGAAAAATTTTGTTATTTTTGAAAAGAATTGAATTCTTCATAAGAATTTTATAAACATTGTTTGAATAATTAATTTTTTCGAAATATAATAAATATTATGAAAATTTTATTTTAAATAATTGAATTCTTGTAGAAAACTTTATTTGTAAAAATAATTGAATTTTTTGATTAATAAATTAAAAATATTATTAAAACTTATTGAAATTCTTCGATGAGTTTTATTATTTATGAAAATAAATTGAATTCTTCCTTAGAATTTTATCAAAAACTTTTTTAAAAATTGAATTTCAATGAAAAATGTTATTATTAGTGAAAGTAATTAAACTATTGTGAAGAATTATATAAAAATTTTGTTAAATATTTGATTTTTCGAAATTTTGTTAAAAATGCTATTATAAATTATAATTGAATTTCTGTGGAAATTTTATTATTTATGAAAATATTTTAATTTTGGATAAATTTTATCAATTTTTTTTGAAATAATTGAATTAGTTTGCTACATGAATTGACTTATTTAAATAATAGTAATATAATTATTAATTTTATATTTAATAATTTATTTTGTTACAGGAAAAACTAAGGTGTATTGTTCGGTTTTTAATTTAGAAGAGGGCAGTATTAAATGAACTAATAATTATTAATATATATTATTACTGTTATATAATTTTAACACAGATTATACAAAACTTATATTAATAATTTATAAGAAATAATTTAATTAACATAAAATTTACATTAATAATTAACAACCAACATTCACATAAATACAATAAATTAATTCAGCCTATATTTTCTATAAATAAAACTATTCAATAATTATCGATTCACTTATAAGCGAAAACGAGTTTCTCTATCTTTATAAAAAATTTTTTATATATAAAAATGTAATTAGAGTTTTTGGTTCCATATTAAAATGGCATGGCGTATCATTGCATTTTGTTTCATCTAGTCAGATGGTGATTTTGATGAAATTCAATTATTAAGCTTAAAGAAATCGTTTTACTGCAATACAGTATAAGATTTTCTGTTAGTTTACATTAATATAATATCATGATCTCTTTCAATTCTTCGTTTAGCTTTGAGTGGTACTATACCCATTAGATCAGCGGGAGTTGGAAGTCCACCATAAGTACTAGATGATGAAGTTTGTTGATAAAAAACTTCAACATTTCCACACTGATTTCCATACACAACTGCATCATCACTCCTGTGAAGAGATTACATTCCCAATAATCATAATATTACAGAACATAATATGCAATTTTGTAAATTAAAAATAATACACATTTTACTTAAAACAATAAATTAAATTTTTCCATAACTACAAAACAAGAAGATATCGATAACTCCCAGTCTTCGACTCGGAGTGATCAATTTCTTCATGCTTTAGAATAATTAAAGATGACCGAGTGATAAAAATCATTTACAATTCACTTATTATTTACAAGAATTTTAAACTAATATTCTTCTTTAAATCGATTATTTTTTAATAATTTTCGAAAAAGTTCTTTGACAATTTTCAAATTCATTTGTTTACAATATTCAATTTTACGAAATTTCAATTATTCGTAAATTCTTCAATTAAATAAATATTCGAAAATAAAAGCTTAAAATAATATTTGAAAAATTCAATTAAACTTTTTCAAAAAAATTTATTCCAAAATTCAATTATTTTTTAAAATTCACGCTATATTGCTTTTAATATTCAATTATTATCTGAAATTAATTTTTAAATCAATTTTTATTAGAAAATTCTATTAGAATTCAATTATTTAAATACAAAAATAACAATTTATTGAATAATTGCATGTTTCTTAAAATGTAATTCTCATAAAGAATTTTATCAATAAATTTTTAAATAATTGAATTCTTTTGTCGAATTTAAAAAAAATTTTAATTGTACTAAAAATAATTGAAATTCTTGCGATAAATTTCATTATTTGTGAAAATAAAATATGAATTCCTGTAAAAATGTATATTATTCATGAAAATAATAGAATATTGCGAAGCAATTTATAAAAAATTTGTAAATAATTGAATTCCTGTAAAATTTTTATTATTTATGAAAATAATTAAATTTATTTGAAATAATTGAATTCTTTTAGAAAATTTTATTAAAATAGTAGATTTTTAATGTCGTTTTCATTTATTTCTATTATTTGTGAAAATATTTGAATCCCTAAGAAGAATTTTATTATTTTTGAACATATAATTAAATTTCTGCAATAATTTATAATGCAAAAAAAATATAATTTATTGAATAATTGAATGTTTCTTAAAATTCAAATCTCATAAATAATGATAGCAACAAATTTTAAAATAATTAAATTCTTTCGACGACTTTTAATAAAATTTTTAAGAATAATTACACTTTTCGAGGAATTGGATTAAAATTGTATTAAAAAAAATTGAAATTCTGCAATGAGTTTTATTATTTATGAAAATAATTGAATTCCTAAAAAGAATTTTATTTACGAAAATAATTAAATCCCCGTAAAAATTTTAATATTTATGAAAATAATTGAATGATTGCGAAAAAATTTATAAAAAAATTTGTAAATAATGAAATTCCTGTGGAATTTTTATTATTTTTTGAAAATAATTAAAAGTTTGTGTAGAATTTTATTAAATTTTTTTTTATTTTTTTTAATTTCCGCTATCTAGACATAATTCCGGATTGTAACAACGTGACTTTTAAATAGATTGACATTTAACTGTTTAAAAACTTTTCCACAATTGCCATTATTTTTTATCGAAAATTTTTCATTGCATTTTTTCTTATCTTTTATGGCATTTAGCTTCATTATTTTTGAGCTCTCCAAAAACACTTTACTTAATTAAAAGTCTTCACCCTTCGATTAAAAATTTTAAATTATTAAAAATTATCAAAAATTTGAAAAACCGAATTTCCTAAAAATCAACATTTTTTCTTCTCTTTTATGTCATTTAGCTTTATTATTTTTGGGCTCTTCAACAACACTTTACTTATTTAATAGTCTCCACCCTTTAGTAAAAAATCAAAAATTATTAAAAATTATGAAAAATTCGAAAAACCGAATTTCTTAAAATTCAACATTTTTTCTTCTGTTTTATGGCATTTAGCATCATTATTTTTGGGCTCTCCAAAAACACTTTACTTACTTAATAGTCTTCATCCTTTGGTTGAAAATTTTAAATTATTAAAAATTATCAAAAATAGTATAAGATGTTTAATTAAAAACACGAAAAAAATTCAGTTTTGTAAAATAAGTTTCAAATTATTGCAAAAATTCAATTATTTTCAAGAGTAATAATATTCTTCGCAAAAATTAAATATTGTTCAAAAGTAATAAAATTCTTTTAATTATTTTCACAAATAATAAAATTTATTGCAGAATTTTAATTATTTTTAATACAATTTTAATCAAATTTCTCGAAAAATGTAATTATTCTTAAAAATTTTATTAAAAGTCGTCGAAAGAATTTAATTATTTAAAAATTTGTTGATAACATTATTTATGAGATTTGAATTTTAAGAAACATTCAATTATTCAATAAATTATTTTTTTGCATTAAATTATTGCAGAAATTTAATGCATATGTTCAAAAATAATAAAATTCTTCTTTGGGATTCAATTATTTTCACAAATAATAAAACTTTTCGCAGAATTTCAATTACTTTTTAATACAATTTTAAACAAATTTCTTGAAAAATGTAATTATTTTTTTTAATTTGTTTAAAATTGGTCGAAAGAATTCACTTATTTAAAAATTTATTTCATAAAATTCTTTAGGAGTATTCAATTTTAAGAAACATTCACTTAATATATTATTTATTTTTATATTTAAAAAATTGAATTCTAGTAGAATTTTCTAATAAAAATTAATTGGAAAATAAATTTTAGTTACAATTTTACATAATAATTGAACATTAAGAGCATTTTAGGATAAATTTTTGAGAATTAATTGAATTTAGAAAAGGTTTAATTTTAAAAATTGGCAAAATTTTAAAAGCCCTATTTTCAAAAATTTTCTACAATTCAATGACATTCAAAATCTACTATTTTAATAAAATTTTCTAAAAGAATTCAATTATTTCAAATAAATTTAATTATTTTCATAAATAATAAAAATTTTACAGGAATTCAATTATTTACAATTTTTTTATAAATTGCTTCGCAATAATTCAATTATTTACAAATTTTTTATAAATTGCTTCGCAATAATTCAATTATTTTCATGAATAATATTCATTTTTACAGGGATTCATTTATTTTCACAAATAATGAAATTTATTGCAAAAATTTCAATTATTTTTAATACAATTTTAATCGAATTCCTCAAAAAAATTCTTAAAAATTTTATTAAAATTCATCAAAAGAATTTAATTGTTTAAAAGTTTATTGATAAAATTCTTTATGAGAATTCAATTTAATGAAAAATGCAAATATTCAATAAATTGTTATTTTTATATTTAAATAATTGAATTCTAGTAGAATTTTCTAATAAAAATATATTTAAAAATTAATTTCAGTTAAAACTTTAGAATTTTTTAAATAGTATTTTAAGTTTTTATTTTCTAATATTTATTTAATTGAAGAATTTACGAATAATTTAAATTTCGTAAAATTGAATATTGTAAACAAATCGATTTGAGAATTGTCAAAGAACTTTTTCGAAAATTATTAAAAATAATCGACTTAAGAATTTTAGTTAAAAATTCTTGTAAATAATAATTGAATTGTAAATGATTTTATCACTTGGTCATCTTTAATTATTATAAAATATGATTATTATAATTTAAATTTTTAAGTAAAATGTTCTTTTATTTGACTCGGACTGGTTATATTTTTGTCAGTAATTGGTTAGTAATTTTTCATTTTCGGTCCGTAAAGTCCGTATTTTTAAATAAATTTACTCGTTCGAGCCCTGTGATTACGTATCTGACGTAATTGTCTGAATAATTTTTTAATTCGTCTTTAATATTAATAAATTGTTATTTCGATTGATAAATCTGTAGCGATTGTAAATTCTTTTGGTTCGTCGCATCAGTGGTATAATATTATAGACTTCGGTATCTTGCAGACAGTCACAATGCTCCTATTAATAGTAAATAATAAATTCTTACCTTATTATTATCTCTGTGAGATTATTTTTGTTGGTAAACCTATTGTGAAGTGTTGCCAGTATGTCGAGTTCCGTAACACCCCACAATCCGGAACGATAGGTAGTATCCCATTCGGAATTAACTGAGAGTACACTGTATAATTCTTTATTTTCTGTTATTGGCAATGGATCTAGACACTGTTGTAAACATATTTCCAATTTCCCCAAATTATTAATGCAAGTCCTCCACTAAAAATTTATAAGTAATTAATGAAGAAATTTTGGCCTTCAACAATTATTAATTATTAATACGAATTTTAAATATTAACTTTGCAATAAAAATTAAGAATTTCAATTGTAATAAATAGAATAAAAATAAATACTCACCAGAGAATGTATAAGTTCTGGATCTGAGCACATTCCATTTTCTAATAATAACATCAAGACCATATTTTGATGTCCACATAAGAATAATTCAGTTTTTTGAACAGAACTTTTATTCTTTATTAAATCCATTTCAATTTCTTCATTGGATTCATTGTTTATAACAGAAGAGTCTAATTTATTTTTAATTAAATTATTTGAGAGCGCAGAATATCCAGAGAAATCATTAAATTCACTGGGTGTGTTGTCTCTACTATAAACTCCACTTCTATTTTCATCTATAATAAGGCTTAGTTTTGACATTAAAGGAGTTAATTGTAAACCTTCGTGTTTACGTTGTTTTTCAAATACACTGTTTGAGTTTGATGTTTTACTTCTTTCTTCAGTGTCGAGCACATTAAGAGGTTTCAATGGAAGACTTAAAGAACTACGATACAATTCCTGTTTACTGATGTTTTGTAATTTTACGTTAGATGAAACCTTTGATTTTTGCTTCATATCTTTCTTCAATTTTCCCATTTCCGTGGAATTATTTTTCTTTTTAGAAGTTTTGGAAGCCAAACTGATCTCAGTATCTTGATTCAACTCTTGATAGTGAGAAGTAATATACTGATTGTACAGTGAATGAGTCACTTGTACGCCATCAGCTCTAAACACCGGAAAATTAGGATCTGTTATTGTATTGAAATACCTTTTATTTGGCAATGTTTTTCTTCGTGTTGTACACGATTTGTAATCTAATGGCAAATTTTTATTTAATTCTGGTGACGATTCCCATAAATCTTGACTCGAATGATGTTTAATATCAATTAAACTTAAACTTTTCTTATTACTATCTTCGAATTTGATAAATCTATCACTGGAAGTGGCATTTTTTAATTTATTTAATTTTTTACATAAAAGTGCTTCTTTCACGATATCTGGAATATCATTAGGATCTTTTTTTCGTTCATCAGATTTATTTATGGCTTCTTTAGACATTTCTGCTTCGTCTGTTGTGCTACATATGGAAACAGCAGTTCCATGTAAAATACGTTGCACATCTTTTAAAGGAGTACAACAAACACTTGGCGTTACGGGAAATTGTTGCTTTATACTCTCATTTTTGCACTCTTCTTTCTGATTAATTGGAGAATTGCATGTTTCAGATGGATGTGCGGTAAAATTTGAAAAAGAATTATCACTTATGGAATCGAGTTCTCCCTCTTCTGGGACAGTGAAAATACGTGAAATGTCTCGTTTCATAAGAAGTGGTTGATCCTTACAGTTATTCTTAAAATTCTAAAAACAATTTTTATTTATCACTATGAACCAACAATAATAACATGCAAATTTTAATTTACCAATTACTGACAAAAATATAAACAGTCCAAGGCAAATAGGAGAACATTTTACTTAAAACTATACAATTCAATTTTACAAAATTTCAATTATTCGTAAGTTCTTCAATTAAATATATATATTAGAAAATAAAAACTTTAAGTAATTCCCAAAAAAAATCCGCAATTAAAGTTTCTCAAAAAAAAAAAAAATGAATTCCAGAGAATAGATAATTAAAAATATGAAAAATTCAAATTTTCGAAGATTTTAATCTGAAACCTTTTCAAAATTCAATTATTTTTAAAAATTCACGCTATATTGCTTTTAATATTTAATTATTATCTAAAATTTTAACCGAAATTTATTGTTTAATCAATTTTTTAATAGTAAATTCTATGAGAATTCAATTATTTAAATGAAAAATACGTAATTTATAGAATAATAGATTATTTTCTTAAAATTGAATTCTTATAAAGAATTATTATAAACAAATTTTTAAATAATTCAAATAATTGAATAATTGAAACATTTATACGAATTTTAATAAAATTTTTAAAAATAATTACATTTTTTGAAGAATTTGATTAAAATTGTGTTAAAAATAATTGAATCCCTGTATAAAATTTTATTATTTATGAAAATTATGAAATTGTTAAGAAGAAATTTATAAAGAAAAGTTTAAATAATTGAATTCATGTGAAATTTTTATTATTTACAAAAATAATTAAATGTTTGCGTAGAATTTTATTAATTTTTTTTTTAATAATTGAATTCTTTTGAAAATTTTTATTAAAAATAGATGTTAATAAATAATTTATTGAATAATTGAATGTTTCTTAAAATTCAAATCTCATAAATAATGTTATCAATAAATTTTTGAATAATTGAATTCTTTCGAAGAATTTTAATAAAATTTTAAAGAATAATTTCCTTTTTTCAAAGTATTTGATTTAAATTGTATTAAAAATAATTGAAATTATGCGATGATTTTGATTATTTACGAAAATAATTGAATAAAATAATAATAATGAAAAATAATTGAAAGTAATAAAATTCTTCGCAGAAATTCAATTATGTTCAAAAATTTTCTTCAATTAAATGATTTTCAATATCTAAGGTAGGTACTACATATTTTCATAAAATTTTCCAAAAGAATTCAATTAATAAAAAAAAAGTTACTAAAATTCTATACAAACTTCTAATTATTTTCAAAAAATAGTAAAAATACCACAGGAATTTTATTATTAACAAATTTTTTTACAAATTTCTTCGCAATCATTCAATTATTTTCATAAATAATAAAATTTTTACGGGGATTCAATTATTTTCGTAAATAATAAAATTCTTTTTAGAAATTCAATTATTTTCATGAATAATAAAAGTCATTGCAGAATTTCAATTATTTTTAATACAATTTCAATCGATTTCCTCGAAAAAATTCTTTATGAGGATTCAATTTTAAAAAATATGCAATTATTTAATAAATTAATATTTTTGTATTTGAATAATTGAATTCTAGTAGAATTTTCTCCTAAACATTGATTTAAAAAAAGATTTCAGTAAAAATTTCAAATTATATTTGAATTTTGAAAGCATTAGAGCGTAAATTTTTAAAAATAATTGAATTTTGAAAAGGTTTCAGATTAAAATCTTTATTTGAATTTTTCATATTTTTAACTAACAATTTTGTGGAATTAATTTTTTTGAGAAATTTTAATTGAGGCTTTTTTTGAAATTATTTAGAGTTTTTATTTTCTAATATACTTATATATTTAATTGAAGAATTTACGAATAATTTGAATTTTGTAAAATTGAATTGTAAACAAATGAATTTGAAAATTCTTAAAGAATTTTTTCAAAAATTATTCAAAATAATAAATTTAAAGATGATGTTTAGTTAAAATCAGGAAATAAAATTCAATTTTGTAAAAGTTACAAATTATTGCAAAAATTCAAGTATTTTCAAGAGTAGGTAATAATATTCTTCGCAAAAATTAAATATTGTTCAAAAGTAATAAAATTCTTTAAATTATTTTCACAAATAATAAAACTCATTGTAGAATTTCAATTATTTTGAATACAATTTTAATCAAATTTCTCGACAAAAGTAATTATTTTTTTAAATTTTATTAAAATTTGTTGACAGAATTCAATTATTTAAAAATTTGTTATTAAAATTCTTTATGAGAATTGCAGTTTAAGAAAATTTGAATTGAATTATTCAATAATTTATTTATTTTTGTATTTAAATAATTGAATTCTAGTAGAATTTTCTAATAAAAATTTATTTACATTTCATAAAAATGAATTTCAGTTAAAATTTCAGATAATAATTAAATATTAAAAGCAATATAGCGTTAATTTTGAGAAATAATTAAATTTTGAAATTAATTTTTTTGAAAAAGTTTAATTGAATTTTTTAAATATTATTTTAAGTTTTAATTAAAGAATTTACGAATAATTGAAATTTCGTAAAATTGAATATTGTAAACAAATCGATTTAAAAATTGTCAAAAAACTTTTTCGAAAATTATTAAAAATAATCGACTTAAGAATTTTAGTTAAAAATTCTTGTAAATAATTTTATCACTCGGTCATCTTTAATTATTATAAAACATGAAGAAATCGATCACTCCGAGTCGAAGACTCGGAGTTATCGATATCTTCGTGTTTTATATTTATGAAAATTTTTTTTTTTTATAAGTAAAATGTTCTCTTATTTGACTCGGATTGGTTACATTTTTGTCAGTAATTGGTCCGTAATTTTTCATTTCTGGTCCGTAAAGTCCGTATTTTTAAATACTTTCTTGTATTTTAAATACAAGGTTCCAGCCTTGTATACATAATATTAATATCTCACCTTTTTATTGTGCAGTACTTTTTTTATTGATGCTGCTAAATGGGAACTGTAACTCCGCTCAAGATTTGCACTATGAATCATTTTGCCAATTTGACTTTGTTCAATGTAAACATACAAAAGTTGTACTCCAACAGGTAAATGATACATGGTTGATATTTTTTCAGCTGGTGTCTAGAGAAATAAATATTTTTTCTAAAACTACACTAGCATAACTTTAATATTTTTTTTTCTTAAACAAATATTTAAAAACTTATTGTTATTTATTTTAATCGAAATTTCCAATAATTTAAATGTAAAACCTTTTGAAAGAAATTTATTAAAAAAATGTAATTACCTTAATTCGATAAGGATCCGTTATGACTAGCTGTTTAGTAATTTCAGCACTTAACTGAGATGCTACGACTCTGTAATTGAAGTTGATTTTTAATAATTGATAACTAAATTTTGTTTTATTGTAGAATGAGAAATGAACTTACTTATTATTGTAAAAAAGAGCTCCGCCTATAATTCCAATGATTTCCTGACAATTTTGTAAAATTTGAATTGCTTCTAAAAAAACATGACTTGCACTCTGTAAATAATATATTTCTTTATTTTAAAAAATTAATTATTATTTGAAAGAATGTTAAATACGAACCCTTGGTAGTTTTAAAGATGGATTACTAAAAAATAAACTTGAATTGTATTGTAATATAGGCAAGTATGTTTCAAACATTTGATATAATTTTTCGGTGAATTTATTTTTGTCATTATTAAGTGACGTTGATATAGTTTCAATATCGCAATGAAAAAATTTTAATATTGATTCCAAAGTGCTTGCTCGCCTTTGTAAAATCCAATCTTGTATATTTCTATCTGTTCCTACTGCCTGAAATGAAAAAATTTGTTTTTTGAATAGATTAATCCTTTTTAATGAAAGTTTAAATTATTTATTTTATATAATTATAAAATCAGAGTTACCACAAATTCTTCAATTAAATATATTATAAGAAAATAGAAACTTCCAATAATTTCAAATAAAAACTGAAATGAAATTTTTAAACAAATTTTTACTAAAAATCCCTGACTTTTCCCTGAATTCCCTGAGATGTGGCAACACTGAAAATTAATTTCTTAAATAAAGTGAAAACTTACAAGAACATATTGGCCTAATTTCTTTAAAACGAATTTCCCCCCTCTTAGTGAAATTAGACAAGGTGAGGAGAAGGATGTCGTCAAAAATTGATTAACTCCCATTAATTGACCTGCTAAAAGTAATTTTTGAGATGGAGAAACCCACGAAGGATGAAAATACATAACAGATTCAGCAGGATCATCTTCCTCACTTGTGCATTTCACTGTATTGTAAACAAATACTATCATCATTTCTCTGGAAAAAAATATAGCAGCATTTTAATAAAATTATTATTATTCTGTGTTTATTTATATATTGTTTTATTATTATATTTTTATTTATTATTACGTGTATCATAAAACAAATTTACATGTAAATTATATGTTAAAAGTTGAATATTATTTTTAAAATTACAGTCTTTCTGCTAAAAAAACAAACAAATATCTTAAATACAATAAAGACAAGAATAGATTGCACTTATTTTAAGATGACGCAAAACATACATATAAATATGTTTTTCTTGATAAAAAAATGAAATTGATAAAAAAAATTGTCTATATCAACAAAATATATAAATAAAATTAGAATTAAATAAATATTACGATTGTTAATATATTCTTTTAAACTATAAATTTTTATACACAAATATTTACATTTCATATTCACTTATACTTTTTAAAACACAATTTAAAAAAAATAAATGTGTTATCACATGAGAAAAAAAACAAATAGACAAAATTTCCGCCACAGATATAAATGAATTTAAAATATTTATATAAATATAAATATGCTTTAAATAACAATAAATATAAAAATTATTGATTTAAAATTTTTTTCATACTTAGCCATGTCGAATATTTATAACTCTGCTTGTATGTATCAATTACAATTTTACAATCTATATTTTTTAATCCCTTCGATGAATAATTGTCTTTCTCACAATGAACAAAATAAACATTTCGTTGTTAAATTTAATTGCAAAAGAAGTGTAAAATTTGTTTGTATTATCCTATTTCTAATTCCCTAGAAACTATCACTGCTGGGAAATAAAGATAAATAAAGACATCTAATGAATCTAATGAATAAAAACAACATTTAATATTAAATCATTGTTCAATCATTGAATCAAACTCGAAAACTCTCGAAATCAGAAGAAATTGAGAATATAGTGGGGAGAATTAATTAAAATTTTATAATTTTAGTTGACAAATGCGCCACTGGGGGAAATGAGTAATTTTTGTCAACTTCCCAACCATGCTGGTGGAAAATTTCGAAACTTTCCGAGCAAAGTTGGGCAGTTGATTAAAAAAAAATGTCAAAATTGTCCAGAACGGAAAATGTACATTTTCCGTTCTGGACAATTCTGACATTTTTTTTAATAAAAACATTATTTAATTGTTTAAACAATTTAATAAATATTGTTATATTTTTTCATAAATCAAAAACACTCAAACATTATTTTAATAGGTTTTTTTGATTAATTTTTTTAATTAATGAAGCTAATAGAAAATATTTTTTTACGTTTAAGGTGCTTCTATACCTCCGGTGGATTGGTCAAGCAATCGGCTCGATGAATTTTCACGGTCGGAAAATGTACTTTCATGGCGGGTATTTTTGAATAAGTAAATGTTGAAAAGGTTTTTACTTGAAAATTTATTTTAAAAAATGATTTTATCATAGAAATTCTTTTGAAATTTATGTTAAAAAACATGTTTTATTTTAAAAGTTGTCAAATTTTAATTCAAAATGTTTTAATTTTCCAAAGAAGTGTAAAAAGCCTAATGTTTTTGAAATGCTAGTACAGACGATACAGACTGTTTGTTATGAATGTACATAACCTAGCGTTGTGTTGTCGTGCTTGTGATATTATTATATTCTAAATTTAATGATTTAATTATTATTATATTAAATAATAATGAACTGACAACACAACGCTAGGTTATGTACATTCATAACCAACAGTCTGTACTAGCATTTCAAAAACATTAGGCTTTTTACACTTCTTTGGAAAATTAAAACATTTTGAATTAAAATTTGATAACTTTTAAAATAAAACATGTTTTTTAACATAAATTTCAAAAGAATTTCTATGATAAAATCATTTTTTAAAATAAATTTTCAAGTAAAAACCTTTTCAACATTTATTTATTCAAAAATACCCGCCATGAAAGTACATTTTCCGACCGTGAAAATTCATCGAGCCGATTGCTTGACCAATCCACCGGAGGTATAGAAGCACCTTTAGTTGTAGAAAGCCCTTTATGCATGTAGAGAATCACCTACCCATCTCTGGTATTTACCAGGTGGCGCACAGAAGCTTCCGCACTTTTACCTGCAGACAGCGCTGTTTTATTCTAAAATTCTCGGCGTCGCTCTTGGAATTTATTTAGTATTGGTGTTAGTATAAGTACACGCGGGACAAGAGACAAATTCACGAATAAACTCTTGGGAGTATCCTTTATCAAAAGTTTCAATCAAAAAATTTGTCGAAAGTAAATCTTTTTAAATAAAAATCAGTGATAAAAATAAATTAACGTGTAAATCAAATAGTTTATCTCGTGAATAATTATTATTCACGAATTATTAAGTGATTAATCATTACTGCATTTTGACGTATCAGGACGCGCCGCGAGGCAAATATTTCATCCAAATTTTAACGAAATCAGGAAGGGTGAGCGGAAGCGCAGAAGGAAGGAAGGAAGGGCCCGCAACCCGCCCTTCTTTCGAAATGAAGCTCGTTGACCATGTGGTGCGTAGCTTCAAAGTCGCGAAAATATTTCGCGAGAACACCGACCGTATCAATAGCATTGACTTCTCTAATAATGGAGAATTACTCATCTCATGTTCCGAGGATGATCAAATTGTCATTTATGACTGTGAAAAAGGAACGCAAATGCGTACTGTTAATTCAAAAAAATATGGTGTCGATTTAATACATTTTACGCATGCAAAAAATACCGCAATTCACAGTAGTACAAAAATTGACGACACAATACGCTATTTGAGTTTACATGATAATAAATACATAAGATATTTTCCTGGTCATTCAAAGAAAGTTGTTTCATTATGCATTAGTCCAATTGACGATACATTTTTGTCTGGTTCACTTGACAAAACATTAAGACTTTGGGACTTGAGATCGCCCAATTGTCATGGAGTTATGAATGTTTCTGGACGACCAGTTGCGGCTTATGATCCTGAGGGTTTAATTTTCGCAGCCGGTGTTAATTCAGAGTGTGTCAAATTATATGATCTCAGAAGTTTTGACAAGGGACCATTCATTACATTTAAATTGCAACAGGAAAAGGAATGTGATTGGACTGGCTTGAAATTTAGTCGCGATGGAAAGACAATTTTAATATCAACAAATGGAAGCATCATTCGGCTCGTTGATGCTTTTCATGGAACTCCTTTACAAACATTCACTGGACATTTAAATAATAAAGGAATTGCAGTTGAAGCTAGTTTTAGTCCCGATTCGCAATTTGTTTTCAGTGGTTCCACTGATGGTGAGAAAACATTTTTTTTTTAACATTTCACTCTACATTTAATGTGTCAATTTTACAATTTTCTGGATTTTATGTAAATTTTCGCCTATGAAAGTAGGAAATTAAGAAAAAAATTTATTTACTTTCAAAGTATGTAGTAAATTTACTAATAAATCCAGAAAATTGTACAATTGACACATAAAAAGTTATTTGTTTTACAAAAAGGAATTTTAAATTCATCACTTTTAGAGACGTTATTTTAAAAAATAAGATGTAATTATTATTATTTTAAAAATTTCTCCGAAATTTCATATAAAAACTAAATCTATAGAAAATTCTTTTTATTTATAACAATATAAAAAAGTGAGGTTAGGTTCAAGAATTAAAAACTTTGCAAAACAATAGTTATTTCCTGAATTATATAAATTATATCACTGAATAACATGACCTTAAGTACATAATTATTATTGTTTATATTTTCAAAAATTTGAATACCATTCTTCGGAAGAATTCAATTATTTTCATAAATAACAAATTTTTTTATTTTTTTTGCAAAAATTCAATTATTTTCAAGAAAATTTTAATAAATTCTTAAAAAAAATTCCATTATATTTCTGAATAGTAAATTTTTGTTTAAAAATTCAATTACTTTTAATACAATTTTAATAAAATTCCATTGAAGAATTCAATTTTTTTTAAATTTGTTATAAAATATTTTAAAAGAATTCAATTATTTTCTAAAAATTTTATAAATTCTTCGAGTAATTCAATTATATTTATTAATAATAAAAATTCTTATCAAAAATTCAATTATATTCAAAATAATTCCAAGAAAGAATTGAATTTAAAAAAAATTTTAATATTATTTTTCGAAAAAATTCAATTATTTTATAGAATTTTAATAAATTCTCTTCGGAAAAATTCTATTATATTTCTGAATTAGTAAAATTCTTTGCGAAAATTCAATTATTTTTAATACAATTTTAATAAAATTTCATGAAAGAATTCAATTTTTTTAATTTTTAATAATATTTTTCGAAAAAATTCAATTATTTTTTAAAAATTTTAATAAAATACTTCGAAACAATTTAATTATATTTATAAATAGTAAAAGTCTTTGCAAAAATTCAATTATTATCAAAAAAAATTCCACGAAAGAATTCAATTTTTTTCTTAATTCGTTATATAATTTTTCAAAATAATTCAATTACTTTCTAAAATTTTAAATATAATTAAATGTTTAATTTCAATTTTTAACAAACACGATTATTTTAAAAAGGTCAAAGAAATTATTCAAAAAATTCAATTATTTTCAAAATTTTTAATTAAAATTATTAAAGAAACTCTATTATTTTAAAAAACAATTCAATTGTCTTCAAAATAATTGAATTCTTTTATAAAATTTTTTTTAATATTATCAATAAAATTTTTAGGAAAGAATTCATTTTCTAAAATTTTAATAAAATTCTTCCTAAATATTTAAATATTTTCAATACAATCTTAAATAAATTCCTACAAAGAATTTAAATTTTCATCGAAACAATTATATTATTTAAAAAAAAAATTTTAATAAAAATCTTTGCAAGATTTTAATTATTTTCATAAATAATAAAAATTTTCAAAGAATTTCAATTAACGTTCCAAAATTTCTAATAAAATTCTTCGCAAAAATTCAATTATCATCATAAAAAGTAAAATTCTTTGGAAGATTTTAATTATTTTCTTAAATAATAAAATTCTTCGGAGGATTTTAATTATTTTCAAAAATTTTAAACAAATTCTTGTCAAGAATTCAATTTTTTTTCATAAATAATTGAATCCTTTACAGAATTTTAATTATTTTCAATTAATAATTGAATTTTTCGGAGGATTTCAATTATTTTCAAAAATTTTAAACAAATTCTTGTTGAGAATTCAATTTTTTTTCATAAATAATTGAATTCTTTACAGAATTTCAATTATTTTCAAAAATTTGAAATAAATTCTTGTCAAGAAATCCTTTCGAAGTAAAATTCATCGCAAAAATTATTTTAAAAAGTTGAAAAAATTCTTTGTTTTATTCAATTATTTTCAAAATTTTCAATTGAAATTATTCCAAAAAAAACATACATTCTTTTAAAAAAAACACAAAGAAATTCTTCAAAAGAATTTAATTATTTACAAAAACTCTAATAAAAACCTTTAGTTGTATCTATTCTTTAAAAGAATTTAATCATTTTCTATATTTTAATAAAATTCCTTAAATTAAATTATTTTAGAAAATTATTGTAATAAAATTGTGAGAAAAATTTAATTATTTCTAAAAATTTTAATAAAATTCAATAATTAAATGTTCATTTTCAATTATTGAGAAACACGATTATTTTAAAAACTTGAATGAAATTGTTCATAAAATTAAATTACTTTCAAAATTTTAAATTAACATTATTAAAGTAACTTCATTTGTATTTAAAACAAAATTCAAAAAAATTCAATTAGGATTTTTAAAAATTTTAATAAAATTTTTCTCGAGAATTCGATTATTTTCATAAATAATAAAATTCTATGAGGAATTCAATTATTCTCAAATTTTTTGCTAGAATTCTTTGCCAGAATTCTTTGCAAGAATTCAATGATTTTTAATACATTAATTTTAAAATTGACAATATATATTTGAACAGAAAAATTATTAAAAAAAGTTAGGAAACAAAAAAGCAAAGAATAACTAACTTCAAACTGCGAACAGATTACCGGAATACAACGATTATAAATATAGAAGTTAGATTCTTGTTGCAATTTTTAATTTCCATTTACACTTTAAATTAACAATTTATAAATATGAAAATGTAAATTAAATATTTATTACTAATTGCTTCTAGCAAAGTTTTTTTCAGTTACGACTTCTGAATGAATTCTAGTTATTTATTATAAAAAAAAACGAGTTTTAAAAAATCAATAAATATTGATTCTAAAAAAAGTAAAAATAAATTGAAAGAACTGATTTTGTTTATAAATGAGTTACAGTTTTTTAAATTCTTATTATTTCGCTAAAGTCTAAAATTTTCATCGTAAAAATTATTGATTTTGCAGTTATTATTTTTTTTACTATTATAATTCTTAATTATTCTTATTATTATTTTTATTATTGCCGTGAATTAATGAATTATTGAAATTCTAAACTTGAATAATTATTTATAATATACAAGTTTTTTTATCTAAATATTTGAATAAATCAATTATTTAAATAATTACTGCATAATTATTCATTTATCTAATGAAACAATTATATTATTTATTTTTAATAAATAATGTTATTTATTTATTTCGATTTATTATAAATTATGTTATTTTTATACACTAAGTGACAGCTAAATTTAAAAAAATGAAAATCTAATTTAAAATACATAACTTTATTTATTTTACGATTTCAATGTAAATAAAAAAATTGAAGAATAAAAATAATAAACAAATATTACTCTGAGTAAAAAAAGTTGCAGCGATTATTGACGCATGTGCGAAATAATAATTATACATTGAGAAAGTCCACGTGTACATTGCGAATAAAATCCACGTGGAACTTTATTTTTCTTTAATTCTACTTTCAATTTTTCTATAATAAAATAATCAATATTTTTTACATTATAAGTATAATGTTAATGCGTAAAAACATTTTTTTTTTAAATTCTTTTTTATTTTATTTTTATTATTATTTTTCATTCTTTCTTACTCGCCAAAAAACTGATGCAATAGTAATATTACTAATAATAATAATAATAAAAAAAATAAATAATTTTAAAAAATAAATAATAATAATCAAAATAATAGTACCTAATAATAAAATTTTGAAATAAAAATATTTCACTATTATGTCCAGAATAATCCTGACTACAATTTATTAATAGTAATAATAATCAATACAATAATAATGGAAATACTAATAATAGATTAAAAGAAATACAAATCGGTAATTCTGAGTTTTGAGAAGTAGATTCGATTTTTACGTTCATTTATTTTGCGTCGTATTTTTAAATCCAAGAATCAGTCAAATTGTTTATCATTACTGATAAATCAAATAGCTGTTCTATAAAGATAAATTCGCATAATATGTTACATATATATTGGTAAACATTAAAAAATAGTTTTCATTTTACTTATATTTACGTCGGAAAAGAAAAACCTCAAAAAATAGAAAATTAAAAATATTTGGTTTCTAATGAAACAATTTTCAAGTATTATTATAGATAAAATAAAAAAAACTTCTTGAAATAAAATTTTGTTTACTTCTAAATAAAGTAAAAAATTTCTGAAAATAATAATCTTTTTTCGTTTTAAGTAATCTAAATAGTAAGAAAATTTGAAATTTAAATATTAGATTTTTCTTTAATCCATTAATTAAAAAAGAAATATACTTTGTATTGAAAGAAAAGAAAAATTATCAATTATAATTACTATTTGTATAGCTACTGCGCTGTTTCTTAATTAACATTTTCATTGCAACTTTGAATATTACTATGATTGTTTTAAATTATCATTAATTCACACCACTACAGGTCGTTACCCATAGTTACATTTATTCTTCGTTTTTTTAATTATTTCACCAATCTGACCTATACATATATTTACATTTTTTTTCAACTCAACTAAATTAAATTTTAATTGCAGCTATTTAAAGACAATATTTACAAATATTGATTGTACTTTATTTCCGAATGTTCAAATTTTTTTCTATTTGAACATTTTTGAAATATTTAAAATAATTTACAAAATAATGTAAATTTAACATATCTAGTCAAATAAATCTTCTATATTTAATAATAGGGGAATATCGTTGTATTCCGGTAATCTATTCGCAGTTTGAAGTTAATTGTTGTTTGCTATTTTGTTTCTTAACTTTTTTTTTAATCATTTTTCTTTTAATTAAAAATTTTGAAAATAATTGAATTTTATGAATAATTTCTTTGACCTTTTTAAAATAATCGTGTTTGTTAAAAATTGAAATTAAACATTTAATTATATTTAAAATTTTAGAAAGTAATTGAATTATTTTGAAAAATTATATAACGAATTAAGAAAAAAATTGAATTCTTTCGTGGAATTTTTTTTTGATAATAATTGAATTTTTTCGAAAAATATTATTATTATTATATTATTATTGTTATTATTATTATTATTATTATTATTATTATTATTATTATTATTATTATTATTATTATTATTATTATTTTGCTATTCAGAAATATAATAGAATTTTTCCGAAGAATTTATTAAAATTCTATAAATTCTATAAATTCTAATAATTGAATTTTTTCGTAAAATATTATTAAAATTTTTTTTAAAATTCAATTCTATCGTGAAATTTTTTAGAATATAATTGAATTCTTAAGAAAAATTTTATTACAAATTAAGGAAAAAATTGAATTCTTTCGTAAAATTTTTTTGAAAATAATTGAATTGTTTCGAAGGATTTTATTAAAATTTTAGAATTATCTAAAAATAATTGAATTTTTGCAAAAAATTGTACTATTTATAAAAAATAATTGAATTCTTACGAAGAATGTTATTATTTATGAAAAAAATTGAATTCCTGTGAAGAATTTTATTAAAATTTTTGAAATTAATAAACAAGAATAATTAATTAGTAAATTAGTTAATAATTGAATTTTTTTAAAGTTTGAATATGAAATTATTCAAAAACTCATATTTGAAAATAAAAAATATTGTTCTTTGCATAATAATAATAATAATAATAATAAATTGAATATTACGTTCCGCGTGTAACATTTGCTAGTACATAAATATAATAAAATAAAAATAATAAGAATTTCACATAAACATAGAAAAATGTTTCTAAATAAATGGATTATTTTAAAAATAAAGTTCAGAAATAACAAAAAGGAGGAAAAGTCAAATTAAATAAACTATTTGTATATATAAATAGTTCAAATCAATAAGAATTCAATCAAACAGAAAATTACATTTAAGCAATAAAATTGAAATTTATACATTGAAACTGAAAAATAGAAAAATTTGTCTCTCTCGAAAATTTCTAAAATAAAAATAACTAATTGAGCAATTATTTTTCAGGACGAGTTCACGTTTGGAACGCAGACAATGGTTTTAAAGTTTGTATGCTGAATGGCGATCATCCAGGACCAGTACAATGTATCCAGTTTAATCCAAAATACATGATGTTGGCATCGGCTTGTACAAATATGGCATTTTGGTTGCCCACCATTGAGGATTCAAATGCGTAAAAAACAAGAAGAAAGAAAAAAAAATTGTAAACTCTCAAAAAGAGTTTGCTCGCAAGATCATGTTTCGTCATCGTGAAAAAAAGAAATGTTTAATTAAGTGCAGAGAGAATAAGTCAATCTAGCAAGCAATGTGATTTACAGCAAAAGAAAAAAAAAAATTGGACAGGAAAGACAAAAGAAAATTGATTATGATGATGAAGATGATGAAGAGGATAAGGAAAAGGAGAGAGAAAATATTGAAATTCTAACGAGAATGGTTAGAGACGCCTTTCTGGATGAACCTACGAAAGAGACGTCGATAACGTTGGGGGAAAAAAAAGTCGCGTGCTCTCCGAATATTTTTTTTTAAGTACTGCGTCTATTTTCCGTTAATTTCAATTAATTCTTTACAATATCGAATTTTCTAAACTAATCTTTTTTTTACAAATTGCTCCTTTTGCAGAAATTAGAATCATCATTCTCTGTATTTATATATTTGTTTTTTTTTAATCTTTCTCAAAATCTTCCACATAAACATCATTCCAAAAATAATCTTTATTGAAATGATTTTTTTTAAAACAAAAAGAATTAGTTCATTTTTACGAAATTAATTAATTCATTACGAAAGAAACATAATTTCTAAAACTTTTTTTTAAAAATTCAGAGAAAAAACATTGTATTTAAAAAGAAAATTCTTCTCGTGATTTTAGAAAAGAAAAAAAATTAAATTGTAAAGATGGTTAATTAATTATTAAATGATTATAGTAGTAAATAAATGAAATTAGAAGAAATTTCGTAAATTTTTACCTTTAATGTAAAATTATTTAATGTATAAATAAATTCTGTTTAGTAATATAAAAAAAATTTTTTCCCAAAAAAACACTTTTATTTCCTTTCAAGAAGATTTTGAGAAAGAAAGTCTAAAAAGAGAGAAAAAAAAACAACGACGAGAACCGAAATTCGAGTAAAATTCCCTGTAAATAATATTTGTATTGCTCAAAGTTTCAGTTTTCGATCGATAATATTGTTTTCCAGCTAATTTTAGACAATTTTTTTCCTCCCCTAATTAGCAATTTCTAAGTAGATTTTTTCAATAGACGGCAATCTTGCTTGACTTCATTCCAAAAACCAAAAAAAAAATCTATTGTTTTCACGCTAAAGACGTCTTTTTCAATTTTTCTAATTTTCTTTACGTCTAGAAACTGTTTTTTTACACTTTTAATTATTGACTCTAAAGTTAGAAATAGAAAAAAAGACGTCTTTAGCGTCATTATTTAACGTTTCATCAATAAAAGGACAATTTCATTATCGAGAACTTTTTTTTTTTTGTAAAATAGTTTAAGATTTTTCCCCTTAAAAAAATAAAAAAAAAAAAGTCTATATATATTTTCGTCGATTTCATGAAGTTTGCTATTTTAAAAAAATTTTTTTGCGCATGATAATTATTGCTCTTCTGGTGTATATATTTATATATATTCGTTTTGTACATTTCTTTAAGTTACTTTACTTTTCTTTCTTTTTTTCTCCTTCCGACAATTTTTTAAATGATTTTTTTTACAATTTTCTATGTATTGCATTTTGTCAAAAAAAAAAAAATCCCAATTCTCTACGAAATTCATTAAAATTTACATATTTGAAAATGAAACAACAAAATAAAAGTCTTTACGACAATTAGTCTCTTCCTCTTATTTTTTTTCTTTCTTCATTCGTGAAAAAAAATGGGATTTATTTTCATAAGAGGAAAATATTCAAATTGTCTATAAGATTAGTTCATAATTTTTTTGACTAAAATATTCACTGGTGTGCAAAATGCAAACATTAAATTTAGAAATAGATCGCGAAGCGAATGTTTTTTTTGTATTATATCTAGAAATGAAAAACAAACTTAGAATAAAACTTGATTTTGTGTCAATTAAAAGCCACGTACAATCCAACTACGGAATTTTAGATTTAGAAATGTTTGAAATAAGAAACAATTGAATTATTGAGAGAAAAAAAAAGTAGATTTTTCCTTTCGAAAGTATTTTCACTGTCATTGAATAAAATCAATCAGATGAAAACATTATTTTTTAAAAGAGAATTTTTAACAATAATTAATTATATATAATTATTAATTTAATAAATTGGATTTTGTAAATATTCGAAAATTCATTTATTTTCAATATCCAATTTATTTTCATTATACACTAACAATTGCAGTTTTTTTATTAAAAAAAAAAATAAAAAAAAAACTGCGAATCTTGTGATTAATTAATTCAGCTTCCGTGTTACAAGATTGTAGACATTTATGTAGAACAATTTTTTGTCTTGTCTATTTTTCTTATTCTGTGTTCAAAGTGTTCAAGAATTCAATATTTACTGCCGAGATGATAAGCCTTTCGATTAAAAATGAGAAAATAGATAAAAATTTTAATCAATAATGCAAAAAAAAGGAAATTTCTAAAATTCATTGACTGTGGTTTTTATTAATATTTAATATTTAAAATTTAAATATTCCGATGTTTTACATAAAAAAAAAATTGTGAATAGAATTTTGAAAAATTGACATTAATAATTAAAAAAAAAAGATGTTAATTAATAATAATTTAATTTAAACTTTATAATTATTATTTTGTATTATTATTGTTATTGTTAATTCTCACGTATTTGAAAATATTATTTACTGCATAATCACCGAATTAATTGTTAATAAAATGTATTTGAAATAATTATTATTTATACCAATAATTCAAACAATTTCTGAAATAAAAGAAAATATTTGTTAAACTGTCAGAATAAAAGAAAAATTATTATTATTAATTAAAATATTCATTTAATTATTAATATTGACTAATGTCAAAAATTATTACAATTTTCAGAATTCCACAAAAAAATAATAAAGGCATTGTAACTAAAAAGTTTTTACAATTAAGGCGATAATATTCAAATGTTTTTTTTTTCATAAATCCCGTGTGTGAGTTTTTGTAAAATAGTATTTTTATAAACAATACAAACTTCCGAAGCAAAGAAAAGCTCATGTTTACTTAAAAAAATATATATATAATATAAGTGTTCAATTCAATGCAAAAATAATTGATTATCGATGAGAAATGAGAGAAAGACAAAAAAAATATTTTTTTTTTTAAATTAATTTACGATTTTATGTACTTGCGAGTGTGAATGAAAAAATTGTGAGTTAAAACGAATGAAAATTGAATTTCATGATTAATTCTGTTTGAATGTTATTAAAAATATAACGAGAAAATGACAAGTTTTTGTTGTTTAAAAAAAAAAGAAAAAAAAAGTTAATTATGAATTTGAGTAAAATATTTTTTTAAATTTCATTTTATTATGTAAATTCTTTATATTTATTTTATATACGTACAAACAAAAGAGAAAGAAAGTAATTTGTTTCTAGAAAAAAAATTCATTTTTCTAAATTATAAAATAAAAAAAATAAAATTTTGTTCTAATTTATTTACAAATAAAATTGCTTTTTTTAGAATTTACAAAAAAAAGACAGGAAAGATTAATTATAATATTTCAGTCAATTTTTCATAATTAAGATACAATAAAAAATTAAATCTTTTTCAAATTGAAAAAAATGTTCTAATTAATATTCACAAATTTATTTAAAATTTAATATTTTTTTTACTAATTTTTTGGTGTAAAAAAAATGTTTTTCTGAAAATTTAATTTCAAAAGAAGAAAAAGATTTTTTATTACAATTTTTGAATTCACTTTTCAAATTTTTTCTTTAAAAAAAAATGGAAATTCTAATTTTCAAATTTATTGAACAAAGTTTATAACTGAAATTTTAATATTTCTTCATTTTTATACAAATTTTGTCACATAAAAAAATATTTTTTCTCAAATTTAAATTCAAACGAAGGAAAATATTTTTAATTACAATTTATGAATTCACTTTTTAAAATATTTTCATTTACAAAAAAAAATGTAAACAAATAAATGTTAGAAACTTATTAGTCTCTAAAAATTGAAATTGTTTTATTTTGTTTCTTAATTATAGGACTCATTTAATTCTCTTCATTAATTAATTTCTTGATTAATTAATTTTCTTCATAAATTTAATTTGATAAATATTTGTAAAATATTTATAAAATTTATCTCGTAAAATATTTCAAAAAAAGAAAAAAAAATTGGAAAATTTTTATAAATTGTAAACAATTAAAGCGTTACAAATGTAGATAAATAATATTTCATATAAATATTATTACGTAAGTGAAAAATAAGTGGCTGTTACTCGTATAATATTATAAGAATGTTTTTTTTTTTAATAATTATTAATTAGCAGGTAATAAATACTTTGATTAATTTGTATCGCCCTTATTGGCTTCTAATTAATAATGGGGCGATAGTTTTCATAAAAATCATTTCCTTTTTATAAATATAGTCTCAAAAATGAATTGTTGCTTCCATTTATAATATGAAATAGTATTTTTTTTTTGCAACTTTAGAATTAAGTAACAAGTGTTGTTTTAAATTTTTGTAGATCGCACGAATTTTCATAAATATATTGTAAGAAAAAAATTCCCTGTTTACTCACGTAATGTGAGTTTTAAAGAATAAAAAAAATCGCGTGGTTTTAAAAAAACGTATTTAATCGTATATTTAAAAAAAAGTCAAAAATATTTAAATTCATGAGGTTCGATATTTTTTTCAATAAAGAAATATCGAATTTATTTTTTTTTTTTTAATAAATTCAATATTATCTCTTTTCTTAAATTTTTACAGCGTTGATAAATATTAATTTCTTAATAAAATAATAATTCTCTTGTATGAATATTTCATAAAAAAAAGAGTGAAATAAAAATGAAACTAATTTTACGATTGTGCACACAAGTTTTTTCTAAAATAAATCGTTTTTTGTACACCCCATATATATATATATTTCTCGTCTTGAAAATTATTTCACTTCATCGCCTCAAAAATTAGAAAAAATTGTTATTCATTGTTGTAAACATTTTCTTTTTTTATTTCTTAAATTTTGATTTTAGAAAATAGTTTATTGTTTACCTTAAAAATTATTTGCAAACGATTTTTGGTAAAAATGAATATTTTATTGATAATATAAAAAACTAAATAATAGTTTTTTTTCTATGGTTGAATGAAAAAAAAGGAAAAACGAACAACTTACCTGAAAATTCGACCAATCAGTTAATAAATGATAAAAATAATTAGAAATTATTATTTTATATGATAAAGTAACTTTTCTTTTTCGGAAATTGCCGCTGGTGCGTCTGACATTAAATCTTTGCCTTCCAAAGTTTTTGGAAAAGCCATCACTTCTCTTATTGTTGCCGATTTACAAAGAAGAGAAACAAAACGATCAATACCTAAAAATTTTTTTTAATTTAATTAAATGATTCTCAAAAAGTAAAATTGTATTTTAATACTAGAAGAATTATATTTCTATTGACCAAAACTTCAATTTAAATTAACGAAAAATAACATTTTAGTTCAGGGTTGCCACGCTTTTCCTCATTTCAAATTCCCTGACTTTTCCAGGTTTTCCAAGTTAAAAAACGTAATTTTTCCAGATTTTTGAAACTACATTTATATTTTACAAAATTTTATTTTTAATTTTAATTAAATTTTTAATTTTATTCTTAATTTTACCAAACTCCTTGATTTCCAGACAAAACGACTTTTTTCCTGTTCTATTACATTTATTTACGAATTTCTTTCAATGTAAAATTACTCAAAAACATCAATAACTTCGCTTTAAAATGAATATTTAATTATTATTATTTTTATACAGAAATTGAAATTTTCAAAATTTTTTAATTCAATTACATATAAGAATATTATTATAAAACAAGAAGATAATAATTAAAACTTGATACTATTTCAATTCAAGTCTTCATTTCTAGAATTTTAAACTAAAATTCTTTAAAAAAAAAAAAAAAAAAAAAAAAAAAAAAAAAATCTTGTCAATAATTTAACTATTTTTATAGATAATAAAATTATTCACAGGAATTCAATTATTCTCAAAAAATTTGAATAAAATTCTTTGAAATAATTCAATTATTTTTAAAATTGGCAAAAATTCTTCGCAAGAATTCAATTATTTTCAAAATTGATAAAATTCTCCGCAAGAATTCAATAAATTGCTTTCAAAAATGATAAAATTCTTCGTAAATATTCAATTATTTTCAATATTAATTTTTACGTAATTTTGATTATTCTGATATTCTTCAATTAAATATATATTAGAAAATAAAAGCGTCAAGAATTAAAGAAAAATTCAATTAAACTTTTTTAAAAAATGAATTCTACAGAATTTGTTAATTAAAAGTATGAAAAGTTCAAATTTTCTAAAAGATTTTAATTTGAAACATTTTCAAAATTCAATTATTTCTAAAAATTTACGCTATATTGCTTTCAATATTCAATAATAATCTAAAATTTTAACTGAACTTCATTTTTAAATGAATATTTACTAGAAAAGTCCACGAGAATTTTGCCATGAATTTTATTAAAATTGTTGGAAATGAATAAAAATAATTGAATTTCTAAGAAGAATTTTACTAATTTGGAAAATAATTGAATTTATGCAATCATTTGTAATTGCTTCAAAATTCAATTTCTTTTAGTGTTTTTAATTAAAATTCTTTTATAAATCCATTATTTTTAATAATCAATTAAAAATATATATTAAAAAATTTAACTAATTTCAGAAGAATTGGAATAATTAAAATTTCTCAAAAATTTACGTTCTTTAAGACGATTTCTAGTTAAATTCATACAAAATTTCAAATTAAAATCTTTTGAAATTCATCTGTACTTATGAAAATTGTAAACGCACCTTTTTCAAAATTTAATTAATTTTAAAATATTTATGTAAAATTAGATTTCAAGAATAAACTTTAGAAAATAACAATTTTCCAGGATTTCGATCAAAATTCCCTGAATTTTCCAGGTTTTTTCAAGGTTTATAAAATTCCCTGACATTTTCAGGTTTTCCAGGTTGCGTGGCAACCCTGTAGTTGTAAAACGATTAAAAAGGAAAGAAAATGGGGAAAATATTTAATTACCCAAAGCGATTCCACCGTGAGGAGGAGCACCACTCGATAGAGCTTCAATTAAATGATTCAACTGATCCGTATTTATATTCAACATTTTTAAAATATTTGTCTGCAATTCTGGTTCGTGAATTCGAATTGAACCTCCTCCGATTTCAATACCGTTCATCACCAAATCGTAATGCAAACCTCGAACCTATTTTTTCATAGAACAAATAAAAGTTATTATATAAATTTAAAGAAAATTCAATTAATGAATTAAATTTTTAATGCTAAATTTCATCAGAAATGAAAATTGAAAAAACGTTTATATTGTAAACCTTTTCGGGATCAGTGGACAAATACTCCATATCATCATGATGAGGACGAGTAAATGGATGATGAGTGGATTTTAAATTTTCATTCTCAACAGTAAATAGAGGAAAGTCCACGACCCAAACAAATTTATAATCTGAAGATCGTAAATTATATCCACTTGCTTCCAAAATATTTGCAAATTGAACGCGTAAATTACCAGCAACAGTTTGCTAACAAAAAAAAATATATTCTTTTTTAAAGAAAATTATCAGTTTTTACAGGGAAATTTTTGATAAAACAAAAAATTACAAAACAATAGAAAAAATAATTAAATAAAATGAATAATAGAGTAAAATAATTAAAAACTATAGTATAAATAATGAAATAAAATAAACAATGGAGCAAAATAAATAAAACCTAAAATAAATAATAAATAAAATAATTAATAGAATAAAATAAAAAAATGTGAGTAAACAATGATTAGAAAATGAAAATTTGTTAATTACGCACAGAATTTGTTTTGTCTCCATATGCCAAAAATAAAACGTCTCCGTCATTAAAATCAATTTTTTCTAAAATATTCCTCGCAGCATCATTAGAGAGAAGTTTCGTTAATTTTTCCAATAAATTATCTTTCGAAACTTTCAATTGTACTAATTTTGTATTATTGAAATACATTCTTACTATGCTGAACAGTTTCTCTTTATTTGCCTTTGTGAGACATTCCTGAAATTAGAAAAATTTTATAACTCTAGAAAGAGAAATATTCAAAAAAATATCGTACATTACAAGGAAATTATTTTTTTTTCATTTATTAAATCATCTAAAAAATATAAACAAAAATATATAATAAGAAAAAATATTTTACTCCTAAAGAGCGAAATGTTATATTTAATTTGTATTATTTATTATCACCGTTTATATTTAAAGAAATTTTCAGAAGTTAATATTTTTGTCTCATTTTATTTTATGAGTAAAATCTTTTTTTCTAAACGAAAAGGAAATAGTAAAGGTAAAATTACTTTATTTCCGATAGAAAAGAAAGAAATACTTACACCAGAATTTGGAAAAACGACAGCGTATGCTCCGAATTTATCATGTTTAGATGAAAATTTAGAATCGAAACATTCCGTTATATTCTGAAGCTAAATAGAAAAAAAAATAAATTTATTAATGTTCACACTTTTAAGTAATTTTAAAAAATCTCTCAAATTGCGTGTACTTATAAATCAAATTAAATCTCAAATTAACTAAAGGCAATAAAAATTTAATTAATTTAATTTTTTTAATTTATTAATTTTATTTAATTAATTAATTAAATTTTTCTTTCAATTACAAAACTGAATAAAAGATTGAGAAAAAAATACATAAGATGAGAAATAAATACATAAAAATAATTAATAAATAATATAAATAAGTAAAATGAAGTAATAAAAAAAATTGTATTTGTCGATAAATGTTTATTTATTTTCTATCATTTTCTATCATTTATGGTCAGAAATATCAAAAGGAAATTATACCTCGTTAGGAATTCGCAAATCCGGCGAATCAACGCCATATTTTTCCATAGCTTCCGCAAAAGTAATCTGAGGAAATGGTAATTTTATAGGACCTAATTCCTCCGGCCAACAATAGACCACTAATTCCTGAGCTAATTCCATTATTTGCTCCCGATCCGAGAATGAAATTTCTATGTCCAACTGAAACAAAAAAACTACAATTTAATTCTGAAGTAAGCAAAATAATCAACCATTAAATTATTTATTTATATTCAATATATATTTAAATACTAAATATTAAATTTACAATGTTGTCACAAAAATTTGATTTTTTCTCTCTCTGACTTTTCTTTGTTTTCCAGACAGAATTTTGATTTTTTCCTTGACTAAAAAATATTCCGTTTCAGTTTAAAAATTATTTAATACCCAAAAAATAAAAAATACTTTCAATGTAAATGAAATTTAATTAAATTTGTCTTTTGAAATTTAATAGGGTTGCCACAAAAATTTAACATTGTTTTTCCCTGATTTTCAGACAAAATTTGGACTTTTTCCCTGATCCTTAAAAATATTCTGATTCACTCTAAAAATATTATATAATAATAAATAATAATAATAATTTATGAAAATAATTGTTAATTGAATTTATGTGAAGAATTTAATTAAATTTTGAAAAATTGAATGTTTATTAAAATGGAATTCTTTCGTCAGATTTTAATAACATTTTTAAGAATTGCATTTTTCAAGTAATTTATTTAAAACTGTATTAAAAATATTTGAAATTCTGCGATGAAAATAATTGAATTCCTAAATGAATTTTTATTATTTCTAAAAATAACTGAATGTTTTTGTAGAATTCTATCAAAATTTTTGTTAAATACATACAATTAGATTTTTTGATAAATTTTATGAAAATAGTAAATATTGAAAATCATTGGAGTGCAAAAAACTTTTGAAAATAATTGAAATTTTGCAAAGAATTTTATTTATTTACTATTTACTATTTTATTATAATTAATTTGAAAAATTTACTTGTGTGAATTCGGGTTGTCGATCGGATCTGGAACCTTCGTCTCTGTAACAACGTGCAATTTGAAAATACCTATCGAAACCACCAATCATTAACAATTGTTTAAATTGCTGAGGACTTTGTACAAGGGAGTAAAATTTTCCCTCAAGTCTTGTCGGCACAACAAACTCCTGTGCTCCCTAGAATTATTAAAAGAAAAATATAAATTTTACCAAATTGGAAAATTTGAATTTTGAAAATTCTTTGAGTATTTTTAATAATAATAATAATAATAATAATAATAATAATAATAATAATAATAATAATAATAATAATAATAATAATAATAATAATAATAATAATAATAAATTACCCACTCCGGGAGTTCGTCGAAAAAGTGTCGGAGTTTCAATATCAACAAAGCCACAATGATTCAACAAGTATTCTCTCATTTTGGAAACAATTTCCGATCTTAATCTTAAGTTTCGCTGTAATTCGGGAAATCTTAGGGCAAGATAACGATATTGCATTTGTAATTGTTCCTTGGCTTTATTAAATTTCCTCAATGTAAATGGTAATTGTGCTTTTGCTGCATTCAAAATATTCACCGAATCAACTAAAATTTCAATTTTCCCTGTTTTCATTGATTTATTTTCTTGGTCAGCGGGTCTTTCGACAACGCGACCAGTCGCCGTTATAACACTTTCGAAATTTAAATCTCTTGTCACCTTCAATAAATCTTCTCGCTGAAAGACAATTAAAATTAACTTACAAAATAGAATAATAAATGAAAGCTAAAAACATCGAAAAATAGTTAACAATATTTATTTTTATCACAAAAGGAAACTAAAAAATTTCTAAAATGAAAATTTATTTCTTTTCAATAACTTTTTTCTCCTTTTCATTTTGTTTAAAGGAAAATAATAAAACTAATACAATAGAACAAGTTGCTTCAATATTTCGAAATCAAATTTTAATAATTACTAGTTAATAACAAATATTCAGTCAGAATTTAATAAAAATTGGAAATAAATGAATTTTTCCTTTAATAAAATACCTCCTCGGGGACAAGAAGTTGTGTCGATCCATAGCCGTCACGTAAAATGACAAATTTTCCCATTCTTTGAAATTCTACCCATCCAGAAAGTGTGACAGTTTCTCCAACATTTTCCATTCTCAATTCACCACATGTGTGACTTCTTTTTGCATATCTATTTACTGGTAAATTTTTTTCGAATGACGAAACTTTCTCACTAGCCAAACCATAATTTTGCCAATTTACTGTTGACACACAAATTTGCCTTTCAGTCTGAAAAACAAAAAAGAATTGTAGCAATTAATGGGACGCCTACATTTTTTCACTATATCAAGAAAATGTTTCAAATCTTCCATAAAATTATTTTTATAGTTATTTTTTTCAGAAGAATTCAATGGTCATAAAATAAAATCGATCAGAAAATATTTTGATCTTCTTTGAATTTTTATGTTTCTTCTTGTCGTAATTTCAATTATTTTCAAATCTACTTATTTTCAATATCTACTATTTTAATAAAATTTCCCAAAAAGAATTCAATTATTAAAAAAAAAAATTCTTGATAAATAATGTTTTTTTCCCCAAAGAAAAGAATCAGTTTGTGAACAATATTAATATTGTTATTAAGAAATAAAAATTATGCATAAAATGGATATTTTTTTCTATTTCTTAATCACAATTTTTTAACAATTAACAATTTTCTTTTTTTTATAAATAAAAAAGAGAAAAATTTGCATTATTTAGATCAGTCAAACGAAATTTGTTATAAAAAATATAATAGTCATAATTTATTTGTTAAAAAGTGGACAGACAGAAAAAATAAAAGAATGAAATACGAAATAGTTAAATAATAAATAAATAATAAATTTATTAGTTAATAATAATTGTTTCGTGAAAAATTCTGGAAAAATGCAAATAGGTAAATATTTTATTTTAAAAAATTAAGATTTGAAATTAGCTTGACAAATAAACAAATGAATTTCCATATAAAAAATTTAATAACAATGGTATTTTCAATTATTATTATTGATTTTCCATTTATTTATTTGATAAGTAGAACAAAATTACAAATATTGTCTTACAATATTAAAAAACAGTTTGAGTTATTATTATAATAATGAATGAAACAGTGTAATAAAATAATAGACTATGAATTAATAAGTAATAATAAAGTTTTTTTTACCTTTAAATATACATTTAAAACCGAATTTTGTTTTCTTTTTAAATTTTTTACACATTGTTGACATAACCTCTGAATTATTCGATTTCGTATAAACATATTTATATATTTTGTTAAATATATATTTCACCGTTAATTAAACAAATTAAAATTTTAAACACTAAAAAACCAATATTCGTAAAATATTCTTATCTCTGTTTTTATATTTATCTTTTCTCTATAGATAAAATATTTGTGAGGTAACCTCTACTTCTGTCAAATTTGTTTTTAATGTACCATAATCCTAATCCATTGTAATCAAGAAACGGAAAAATTGCAATTCCTTTTTTTTAAATAAATTAGAATTAAAACATTTAAAATTATTAGAATTTATGAAATTTATTTATAAAAAATCTTAAAAAATACTGATCATATGTTACTTTTTAAACTAATTCGAGATATCGAAATGACAATTTAGTTGGGTAGGTCGCAATAAACAGAACTCGGTAGGTAATGCATTGAGAATTCCAAATATTGCATTTTGATTGGACGGTAATTTACAGAGAAACTTTAATCGACGAATCAGAATAAATTACTATTCTACTAATCCAACCCTGGTTCCAACCCATTTCATCACTCCGCTAAAATCCAGTTCCGTTTCTTTTTTCGTGAACCCACGCTTGACAAGAATTGTAAGTTGTGTCTGGCTTATTGTTTTTTGTGAAAAAATTATTAATTAGTGTAGTAAAATACCAATTGTTTTCATTAATTTTTAATTTCAATTCACTTGGGATAATAGTGTTAATTAATTTTTCCATTGTATGTAATTTATTTGCAATTTTTCAACCTTATTGTTGACAGAGGATTCACACGTCACGTGAACGTTAAATATTGAAGATGAAATTTTTCTCATATTACTCCACGTGAATTTGAAACATCCTCTATTTTTTCGTTATATTTTCTATTTCGGAGTGTTAAAAATTATATAAAGTTGAAGTGTAATGTATTATATTTGAGATTAATTGAAGTTTTTTGTTTTTTTTACCTTTAGGTCAAAAATGGGTCGCCGACCGGCTAGATGGTGAGTTTTAATTATTTTTTTTGGAAAAATAAGAAATTTTTCAAAGTCTAGTACCATCAATAATTAATTAATTATTTCCTTGTTAATTATATTGAATATTCTGAGTTTGGTGCAAAAGTTTATAGCGAGGAAAACATAACCTCAAAATTTAATTATTCTTTTTAATTTTATAATTATTTTTAGGAGTTTTAGTAAAATTCCTTTCCGAACTATTTATTATTTTGATTCGAATTGAAAATAAATTTTTTATATTTTTTGTAATATTCCTTTGCGTATCTAGCAATAACTCTCTGCTTTTTAAAGTATTTATTGTAAAAATTGTCTTATTTTCAGTTATCGGTACTGCAAAAACAAGCCATATCCAAAATCACGTTTCTGTCGTGGTGTTCCCGATCCTAAGATTCGAATTTTCGATTTGGGAAAGAAAAAAGCATCGGTGGAGGACTTTCCACTGTGCGTTCATTTAGTTTCGGACGAATATGAACAATTGAGCTCCGAGGCCCTTGAAGCGGGTAGAATTTGTGCGAACAAATACATGGTGAAGAATGCTGGAAAAGATCAGTTCCACATAAGAATGCGATTGCATCCATTCCACGTTATTCGAATTAATAAAATGTTATCGTGCGCTGGAGCTGATAGGTGAGAAAATTTTCTTTTATGTTACACTCAATTATTTTTATTCATTCAAATTCATTATTAATATTGTGTAAGTTGTACCAATTTATTGTGAAATAATTTTTATTTTTAAAGAGAAATAACATTTTGATTCTAAATATATATTTTAAAAGAAATAAGCGAAATTTGTCTGCGAAAGTATCTAAAATTTTCCAAAGAGAATAAAATTGAAATTTTTAATAATTTAGGCTTCAAACTGGAATGAGAGGAGCTTTTGGAAAGCCTCAAGGAACCGTTGCCCGTGTTCATATTGGACAGCCAATCATGAGCGTCCGTTCTTCCGACCGTTACAAGGCTCAGGTTATCGAGGCATTGCGTCGTGCGAAATTCAAGTTCCCAGGCAGACAAAAGATCTACGTCTCCAAGAAATGGGGCTTCACTAAATATGAGCGTGCCGAATATGAGGATTTGAAAAACAATGGCCGTCTTGCACCTGATGGTTGCAATGTCAAATATCTACCGGAACATGGTCCTCTAGCCGCCTGGAAGAAGTTCCGTGAAATACTATCTGAATAAGTATAAATATTTGTATTTTTCAATATCAATAAAAGTGAAACTTTTTACATCACGTTGATATTTAAAAACAAAATTGAGTAACAAAATTCATTCACTTTATCTTTTTTAAATATTTCATTTCGCTCCCTCATAAGAAAGTATTTCTCTTCTTTTTCTTTTTTTTTTACTTTTTTCTGCAGGGTTGCCACGCAACCTGAAAACCTGGAAATGTCAGAGAATTTTGATCGAAATCCTGGAAAATTGACCAAGTTGAAGTCCACAACGTTGATCAACGAAAAAAAAATTGTTCACTTAATAAATTAATTAAAAATAACGCAGCAATATTAACAAAAAAACTATTTAGAAAAGAAAGACTGATGTTTATATTTTGATAATAATTATTTTACAATTAAATATTGAAATAAAAATAATACTTGAATGCATTAAATAAATTTTTTTCGTTGATAAACGTTGTGGACTTTAACTTAGTGGAAAATTGTTATTTTCTAAAGTTTATTCTTGAAATTTAATTTTACATAAATATTTCAAAATTAATTAAATTTTAAAAAAGTTGCGTTTACAATTTTCATAAGTACAGATGAATTTCAAAAGATTTTAATTTGAAATTTTGTAAAATTTCAATTTTCAATGAATTTAACTAGAAATCCGTCTTAAAGAATGTAAATTTTTGAGAAATTTTAATTATTTTAGTTCTTCTGAAATTAGTTAAATTTTTTAATATATATTTTTAATTGATTATTAAAAATAATGGATTTATAGAAGAATTTTAATTAGAAATTAATTAATAAATTTAATTAGATAAATTCAATTATTTTCCAAATTAGTAAAATTCTTCTTAGAAATTCAATTATTTTTATTCATTTTCAACAATTTTAATAAAATTCATGGCAAAATTCCAATTATTTTCAAAAACTTTCTTCAATTCAATGATTTTTAATAAATCTACTACTTTTTCAAAAATTATTTTAAAAAATTGTTTTAAAAAAGAATTTTAGTTTAAAATTCTAGAAATGAAAATAATTTTGAAGAAATTACAGTAAAAATATTTTTATAATATAAAATAATGATAGTATCAAGTTTTAATTATTGTAAAACATGAAGAAAGCGATCACTCCAAGTCGAAGACTCGGAGTGATCGATATCTTCTTGTTTTATAATAATATTCTTATATGTAATTGAATTAAAAATTTTTGAAAATTTTAATTTCTTCACAAAAATTATAATGATTAAATATTCATTTAAAAACGAAGTTGTTAATGTTTTTGAGTAATTTTACAATTAAAGAAATTCGTAAATAAATGTAATAGAACAGGATAAAAGTTTTGCAACCCTGACAGTGTATTTTGTAAATTGGAAAATTTAAAGACGCGAATTTAAAAAAATACCTGAAGGTAAGTAACATATCAAGTAACTATTGCATTTTAAGAAGGCAATTTTGGTTCTAATTAATTAATTTCTGTTCTAATTTCTAATTAATTTTTGTTCTAATTAGAAATATTTCATGTTGGCAGTATTGCAATGAAATTGCACTTTTCTGAAAATACTTTGATGTAAATTGCATCTATTGTGAAAGCTTCTTAATATTTGCAATTGTACCAGTGCCATCTGGTACTTCTACTAGTAAGTGCAAAACAATGATTTAAAAAATTATAAAAAGAAAAGTTTCCCCTCTTTTTAGCAGACATTACCAAGAATAGGTGAACGTCATAATTTCGATTTATTAAGTAACATCCTGCAATATCAAAAATTGCTTTTTATTAAAAGTTAATTTTAAATATTCATTCTTCAAGTGCAATCTAATAGATTTTGGAGTAAAATTTTATTTATTTATAAACCAGGTGAAAATGGGTCGTCGACCTGCTAGATGGTAAGTTATTTTTCATTATCCTTATTTTTTTTCTTGAAAAAACAAACACTTTACTTCATTATTGCAAATTTCGAAATATAACCTCCAAAAGTTTAATTTATATTCAAACTTTATATTTTTATATGAAATATTATATATATTTAATAATTATATTATGCAATGTTAATAATCTACTTTAATTATATTTCAATAATTTAATATAAATTTCGAAATTAAAGGCTTTATGACAATAGAAACGAACTTAATAAATTAAACTTTGTGCTTATAAAAATTAATTTTCAGTTATCGTTATTGTAAAAATAAACCATATCCAAAGTCACGTTTCTGTCGTGGTGTTCCCGATCCGAAAATAAGAATTTTCGACTTGGGAAAAAAGAAAGCAACTGTGGAGGATTTTCCACTGTGCGTTCATTTAGTTTCCGGCGAATATGAACAATTGAGCTCCGAGGCCCTTGAAGCGGGTAGAATTTGTGCGAACAAATATATGGTGAAAAATGCAGGAAAAGATCAATTTCACATTCGAATGAGATTGCATCCATTCCACGTTATTCGAATTAATAAAATGCTATCGTGTGCCGGAGCTGATAGGTAAGAAACAATTTATCCTTCTTCATTGTCAACTTGTAAATGTTACGTGAGAATTTCAAATTTTTTATTATATTCAAATATAAACTTCAATTTTTGAATGATTTCGGATTCAAAATTTTCTAAAAATTCAATTATTAATCAATTATAATTATCATTTAACATTTGTTTTTAAATTTAAAATTAAATTTAATTCAGTTGCTTAAAAAAAATTTAATAAAATTCCATTATTCTTTCAAATTTTAATCAAATTTTTCGTAACAATTCAATTTTTTTTCAAAATTTAATAAAATTCTATTAAAATTGTACAGAAAATAATTGAATTTCTTTGAAGAATTTTATTATTTAGGTATGTTAATATTTTAATTTTAATTTTAATTCAATTTTTGGGATTTTTAAGAAAAATTATTTCCTAAATAATTTGTAATTGTTGTTCAAGAATTAAATTATTTTAATTAGATTCAATTTCATATTCTGTGAAGTTCAATAAATTATAGTCAGAAATTAAGAAAAACTTTGGTTTTTTGAATAAAATTCGTGTTGATTTTAAAGTTTTAAAGTCAAACAAAAAAAAATTTAAGAAGAATGAAATATTTTTAACATTTTCAAAAGCTGCTGGACACAAAAATCTAGAATTTTCTTATCATTTTTATAAATTTAATATTTTTCCAATACTTTTTGATAAAATTCACAGACTTTTCCAATTTCAAACAATTTTGAATTAAAATTAATTTAGAGAATAATTTCAGTTAAAAATTCCTATAAAATTAATTGAATATTGCGTATTAAAAGTTTTTAGAAATAATTAAATGTCAACACGTTTTGAATTAAAATTTTTGAAAATTTGAATTTTGAGTCGCTTCTAAAAAACTTAATTTTTTTAAAAAAATTTACTTCAAATTTTCTTGAAAATAGTTCAATTTTTGAAAATACATTATTTTATTAGAAAATTTTAAATTAAAAATTTTAATTTTAATTTTAATGTTAATTAGTTTAAAAAGATTTTAATAAAATTCTACCCAGACGTATTTAATTATTTTCATAAACAATAAACATTTCACAGGAATTCAATTATTTACAAATTTTTTATAAATTTTTTGCAATAATTCAATTATTTTCATAAATAATTTTTTTTACAGGGATTCAATTATTTTTAAATACAATTTTAATCTAATTTCTCGAAAAATGAAATTATTCTTCAAAATTTTATTTAAATTCATCAAAGAAATCCAATTATTTATAAAGACATTTTAATAAAATTCGTCTCAAGAATTCAATTATTTTTAAAAGTAATATAATTCTTCGCAGAAATTTAATTGTGGTCAACAATTTACAAAAATTCTCGTCAAAATTTTAATAATCTTTATAAATTTTTCTTCGAAATTCAAATATTTTCAAAAACTTTTATAAAATTCTTAGCAAAATTTCAATTATTTTCAAAAACTTTTATAAAATTCTTAGCAAAATTTCAATTATTTTCAAAAACTTTTATAAAAAAAAAAGTTTCAAAAACTCTTTTTTCTTTGGAGAAATTCAATTATTTTTAGTAAAATTTTAATAAAATATTCGAAAAATAAACTTATTCTTAAAAATTTTATTAAAATTTGTCAAGAGAATTCAATTATTTAAAAATATGTTGATATAAGTCCTTATAAAAATTCAATTTTAAGAAACATTCAATTATTTAATAAAATATTTATTTTTGTATTTAAATAATTTTATTCCCGTGGATTTTTCTAGTAAATATTCATTTAAAAATGAATTTTAGTTAAATTTTAGATAATTGAATAATTTATTTATTTTCTAATATAAATTTAATTGTTGAATTTACGAATAATCGAAATTTCGTATAATTTAATTGTTATTTTCAAATAAAACTCAACAGATAAGAAAATAAAAATTTCCAGACTCCAAACGGGAATGAGAGGAGCTTTTGGAAAACCCCAGGGAACAGTTGCACGCGTTCATATTGGTCAGCCAATAATGAGTGTTCGCTCATCTGATCGTCACAAGGCAGCAGTAATTGAAGCACTTCGTCGTGCAAAATTTAAATTTCCCGGTAGACAGAAAATCTACGTCTCCAAAAAATGGGGCTTCACTAAATACGATCGTGTCGAATATGAGGATTTAAAATTAAAAGGACGTCTCGCGCCCGATGGATGTATTGTGAAATATCTACCGGAGCATGGTCCATTAAATAACTGGAAGAAATTCCGTGAAAACATGACTGAGTAAAAAATAATTAATTATTTCTACTTATATCAGTATGAATAAAATTTTATTAAATCTACAAAAAAAACACCTTATTAAATACAGTCGATTTTTTTTAAACTTCTACAACAAAAAATATATATAAATTTTATAATAACGATTAGGTAAATTAAAATAAAAAAAAAAATTAACTAAACTAATACATTTTTTTTCGTAATTTTTTGAAAAAATGCACTTTATATAGTTGCAAGCAGTTTTCAAACTTTTTCAAAGTATTTGAAAAAATTCTAAATTCGTCGAGATTTTTCAATATTTACAGTTTTTTTTCTAATAATTTACAAATTGCATCGAGTACCATGCAGTCGAAATACAGGGCAGTCTTATTTGATTCATTTTTCTTTATATTACCAATTCTAATCTTAGAATATAAATAATGAGCTTTAAATATTTCTATGCGTCCATTAAAATTATAATTCTTAAAACTGAAGAAAATAAGAACGGAATTAAAACTTGAGAAAATATTAAAAGAAACAACACATTTTAAATTAATATATCTTAAAATATGAATTTATTTTCAATTTGTTATATTTTGAAATATAATTACTAATTATATTATGCAAACAAATTTATAGTTTATAAAAAAGAAAATAATCTGTACAATTACCGGCGGTAGAGAATATTTTGTTATATAAAAAATACATATAAATAGAAGTTTTGAGTTAAACTAGAAAGAAAATTTTTTCAATAGATAAAAATTCAACTGCGAACTTGATTTTTAATCTTTTTAATCTACTGGCATTATAATTACGTATCAAAGGCTCGATTTTGAGTAATTAATATTTCTAAATTGTAAAGAATATCATTTGAGAACTGAGAGGAAATTATTTTATTCTTTATAGTTAAAATTATGGACGATTTAGTTTTTTTTTAAGAAGGGGAATTGTTTCCCAAATTAAATGCGCGATTGAATATTTTAAAAATCTAACAGTGGTGGATAATAAATTGTTAGCAAGTAACTAGAATTCTGTTACTTTTTTCAAAAAATCATTTAAATTTTTTAAAAAGTTTGATTGAAAAAATGGAAAAAATCGCCATTTAAAATTATTTCCAGATTTGAGTTTTTACTAACGCGAGTGACACGTCACCTCGCCATTTTCACTTTCTCCATTTTGCATATCGTCATCAATGTCCATATCACACATTCGATGATTGTGAGTATCTAAAGTTTCTGTACTCGTTGCAGCATCGAGTAAAGGAGATAATTTCTCAGCCTCGCTGTCCTCGTCCTGTCCCTGTCCTTGTAAATACTGAAAATATCCCAAAGAAAATATTAAGCAGTTAAAATTTCAAAGATTTCAATTTAAAAACATCAATCTACATAATCTAAATAAATTAGAAATTAAAAACTTTAAATAATTAAAAAAAAAATTCCATTAAACTTTTTGGGAAAAATTAATTCTAAATTTCCTTAAAAACCTTGTCAAGAATTTAATTATTTTTATAGTTAATAAAATTCATCGCAGGAATTCAATTATTCTCAAAAAATTTGAATGAAATTCTTCGAAATAATTCAATTATTTTTAAAATTGACAAAATTCTTCATAAGAATATAATTATTTTCAAAATTGATAAAATTCTCCGCAAGAATTCAATTATTTTCAAAAATGATAAAATTCTTCGTGAATATTCAATTATTTTTAATATTAATTTTTACGTAATTTTGAATATTCTGATATTCTTCAATTAAATATAATATTAGAAAATAAAAACTTCAAGAATTAAAGAAAAATTCAATTAAACTTTTTTAAAAAATAAATTCTACAGAATTTGTTAATTAAAAGTATCAAAAGTTCAAATTTTTTAAAAGATTTTAATTTGAAACCTTTTCAAAATTCCATTATTTCTAAAAATTCACGTTATAATGCTTTTCATTATTCAATTATCTAAAATTTTAACTGAAATTCATTTTTAAATGAATATTTACTAGAAAAATCCACGAGAACAAATTTTTAAATAATTGAATTCTCTTGACAAATTTTAATAAAATTTTTAAGAATAAGTTTATTTTAGGAAATTTAATAAAAATTTTATTAAAAATAATTGAATTTCTCCAAAGAGAAAAGAGTTTTTGAAACTTTTTTTTTGTAAGAGTTTTTGAAAATAATAAAAATTTTGCCAAGAATTTTATAAAAGTTTTTGAAAATAATTGAATTTCGGAGAAAAATTTTTAAAGATTATTGAAATTTTGACGATAATTTTTGTAAATTGTTAAACACAATTAAATTTCTGCGAAGAATTTTATTTGTTTTGAAAATAATTTAATTCTTCCAAAGAATTTTATTGAAACGTCTTTTTAAATAATTGAATTTCTTTGATGAATTTTAATAAAATTTTAAAAAAAATTTTTTTTATAATGTATTAAAAATAATTAAATCTCTGTAAAAAAAATTTCATTGAATTGAGAAAAGTTTTTGAAAATAATTGAAATTTTGTCAAGAATTTTAATAAAATTTTTGTAAATAATTGAAATATTGCCAAGAATTTTATTAGAATTTTTGAAAATAATTGAATTTTAGAGAAAAATTTTAATGATTATAAAAATAATTGAAATTTTGACTACAACTTTTTTTTAAACTTTTGACCATAATTGAATTTCTGCTAAGAGTTTTATTACTTTTGAAAATAATTGATTTCTTGAGACGAATTTTTTAATAATATTTCTTTTTAAATACCTAATTATTTTTAATAGAAAAATAAATAATTTATTGAATAATTGAATGTTTCTCAAAATTGAATTCTCATAAAGAATTTTATTAACAAATTTTTAAATAATTGCATTATTTTGACGAGTTTTAATAAAATTTTAAGAATAATTACATTTTTCGAGGAATTCGTTTAAAATTGTATAAAAAATAATTGAAATTCTGCAATATTGAATAATATGCAGTATTGAAGAATTTATTTCAATTTTCTTGAAAATAATGGAGTTTTTAAAAATTTTTTACTATTCATTTTAAAAGTAATTGAATTTTATGAAGATTTTCTTTTATTTATTTTAAATAATCGTGTTTATTATTAATTGTAATTAATAAATTTCCTATTAAATTATATTAAAATTGTTTCATATCAAGTTAAATTTTTTTAAAAAATTTTATTAAAGTTTTTGTAAAGAATTTTATTAAAGTTTTTGTAAAGAATTACATTTTTTTAAGCATTTCATTAAATTTCGTAAAAATAATGAAATTTGTTTAAATAATTTTAATTGAAAACTTTGAAAATAATTGAAATTTACAAAGAATTTTATTAAAAACTTTTGAGAACACAATTGAATTGTTTAGAAAAATTTTATTACAGTTTTTAAGAATAGTTGAACCCTGTTAGAGAAATTTTATTAAAATTGTATTGAAAATAATTGAATTTCTCAGAAGAATTTTATTATTTACAAAAATAGTTAAATTCTTGACAAGAATTTTACAATTTATAAAAATAATTGAATTCTTGACAAGAATTTTATCAGAATTGTTGAAAATAATTGAAATTAAATAATATTTTTAAAAATACATCTTTCGAGAAATTTTATTAAAATTGTATTGAAAATAATTGAATTGCTCTGAAAAATTATTATTATTTATGAGAATAATGAAATTCTTGCGAAAAAATGTTATTAAAATTTTTGAAGAAATGATTTATATTATTAATTTTTACCTCATAGAGTGAAACGGGTTGTTTTTCATTGACAAGACGAAGAGTGTCTCTTGTTCGATTGAGATTCGACTTTTCCAATCGTGAATGTCCGGTAATTTTTGCCCTCACGGCCGGCGAACGATTGTGAAGCTCTGATTTTTGTGATCCTGTCGAGTTCTCGCCGCCCTTCGCCAATAAGACAGACATTCGAAATTCGGGTGTCGTACAGGGAGTTCCACTTGTTCTCGAGGAAATGTCCAACGTTTCTTTAGAGGCAATATGTTTCGACACTGGAGTCCGTTCTGTTGAACTGTAAAAAAAAATTTCTTTAATTATAATAATCAATTATTTTATCATTTATTTTTGTTTTTAAATAATTGAATTCTCAAAGGACTTATTGATAAGAATTGATTTGAAACAGAATTTTAGTTCAGATATTAATTCCTGATGGCCAAATAAGTATTTAACAATAAGAATTTAAGTATTTATTAAACAAAAACTAATAAAAAATTTGAAAAATTTTATATTTCAAAGAATTTTACTTTCTCACTTTAAAAAATTATTTTTAAATATTTTATTCATTTTCTATTTTTAAATAGAATTAATTGTAACTAAAAATTTGAAAAATGATTAAATTATACAAAAATGTTTGTATTTTAATAATTCATACCGATTAAGGACTTCTGCGGCTTGAATTGCTGTTGCTGTGTCCGCATTGTCAGGTGGACAGTCAGGAGATTCAGAGCACGGCAAAACAGTTGTCGCTACTCTAGGAATGTACGGTCCATTCAAAGCTTCAATTAACGAAACTGCTTCGTATCCTAATGGAATGTTTTCACAGCTTCCCTATATTTTATATATTAAAGAGAAATAAAATTGAAAATTAAGAAAAAAGAATTGAAATTCATATTATTTTCTACTTTTGAAAATTAGGTAAAAAAAAAGACGAAAAAGAGAAAATAGAATATAAAATAAAAAGAAAATAATTTTTATAATTTAATTTTAATTAAATTAATTAATTAAAATTATCACCTCTGGTAAGCCGGGTGGAGGCGGAGGCGGTACAGGATTCGATATTATCGAACCCGATGATTTTTGAAGAGCTTTAATTTGTAAGAGAGCGCGGAATGGAGCTCGACAAATGGGACAATTGTTTGCTTGATACCTAAGGGAATCCGCGCAACCATTGCACAAACAAAGATGTCTGCATGGTAAAATTAATGTATCTCGTACGTCACACATGCAAATCACACACTCGGATCCATTGTCCTCTGCATCTTCATCGCCATTTACCTGCTAGAAAATTAATTTCCATATTTCGTTATCTTTTCATCTTTTTTTTTTTGCAAATTCCATTTATCTTCAAAATAAACGCTATTTGAAATATTAAAATAAAATTCTATCAATTTAAAAACATAAATTTTTTAAATACTAAAAAAATTTGTATAACATTTTCTTCTAATCGTTAGAAAAAAAAGCAAAAAACTATTCAAGTATTTTATATATATTTTTTTACAAAAATTAAATACTTTGGCATCTTCTGTATTTTTGTTCTCGATTCCATAAATTTCTTGCAGTAAATAACAAAGTCCATCGACGAATAATTTCTGTTTGAGGGCCTTCAAAACGTACGATCCATCAGAATGTTTTTCAATCACAGCTATTGTTGTATGCGATTGTTTAGGATCGTCAGAACCTTCCTCAGCCACACAATGAATAGCGATTGGAATTATCTATATAAATTAATCATTTTTTTCCGTTAGAAATTTAGAAAAAAAAGGCTAAAAACTAAACTAAAAAAAAAAAATTAAATAATCGAATGAAAATAGAAAAGGATAAAAAAAATATTATCAGGGTTGCCACAAATATTTAATTTTATTTTTTCATCACTTTTCCCTCTTTTCCAGACAAAATTTTCATTTTTTCCCTGACCCTAAAGAATATTCTGAATAAAAAATATTCTGACTCTAAAAATTATTAGATACTCAAAAAAAATGTTCTATTACATTTATTTACAAATTGTAAAATTATTCAAAAACATCAATAACTTTCTTTTTTAAATAAAATATTTAATCATTATTATCTTTCCGTAGGAATTAAAATTCATCAAAACATTCAAATTCAAACCTTTTTGAAATATAAATAAAATAAAATAAAATAAAATAAATAAAATTCTTTTTAAATAATTGATATTTTTCGAAAAATTTTATAGAATTTCGTATATTAAATAATTGAATTCCTGTGAAAATTTTATTATTTATGAAAATAATTGAATTATTTCGAAGAAATTTATTAAAAATTTTATAAATTATTCAATTCCAGTGAAATTTAGCCAAGAATTTCATTAAAGTTTTTCTAAAATAATTGAATTTCGAAGAAGAATTTTATTATTTATAAAGATAATTGAAATTTTTACGAGAATTTTTTATAACTTTTGAACTGCGAAGAATTTTATTACTTTTGAAAGATAATTAAAATGACGAGAATTTTTTAAAATTTTTGAATATAATTGAATTTCTGCGAAGAATTTTATTACTTTTGAAAATAATTGAATTTCTGGAATTATTTGTAACTTTTCCAAAATTAAATTTTTTTAGTATTTTTAACTAAAATTCTTTTATTAATCTAGTATTTATGAAAATTGTAAAAATTATTTATTAAAATAATTTATAAATCATAATTTTATTATAGTTCTTGTAAAATTAAGTTATTTAAAAATAAATTATTGTCAGAAATAGAAAAAATGGAAGGTTTTGTATTGAAATTCGTGGTAATTTCATAGTTTACGAGGCAAACAAAAAAATAATAAAATTCAGAGTTTTCTCATGAATTTTTAAAATTCAATTTTTTTCAGTACTTTTACTAAGAATCCCTGACTTTTCCCTGACCAATTTTACTTTTACTGACTTTTCCCTGAATTTCCTGATTTCCCTGACCTATGGCAACCCTGATTATAGAAAAAAATTACTTTTAGAGACAAAAAGTAGTTAAAAATTTAATCTTTGGTTACTTTTTCAATTCGTTACTTACTTCCCGATCACTGCTGTATAATAATTCCTCGTCAGTGAATGGTGTTGGATCAAATACGTGTAAAGCTTGACAAAATTGTTGATTCGCACCTTTTTTATAATGATACGTATCAGAATTCAAGGATGGATCTCGAGAAACGTATCTAAAAGAAGAAACATTAAATAAGAAGAATATAAAAATAAAAAAATTTATAAAAATTACTTTCTTATAAAAAACATTCTTCAATTCTAAAAGTTACAAAAAAAAATTAAATAGCAAACGTAAATTTTCTTGCAATAAACTTCTTTTTATAGTGGAAATAATTTTAAAACAATTTTTTATTTACACGACTCCTTTCGAGGTGACTTCTTCGGTGCAAAAATAATAAATCGTAATTGCACATCTAACGTCACAATCAAATGTGAATTCAATATTAAATCTCATTTTTTTATCAAGATCCCCATCGCCGAAATGTTTAATATCTGTCGTTTGTTGAGAAGTCGCGGCATTGTCAACACTGCGAACGAGACGAAGAGATTCTTTTCTTATATAAACTAAACTTTTCAATGTTTTTGTTGGATCATTTGCTTGCGGCGGTGGATATGGAAACTATTGACAAATAAATCATTTTAATTTCGAGACAAAAAACAAAAAATTGATTACAATATTTAAAAAAAAGTGTTAATATTCTTGTTTCTATTTTATTATTATAATTTAATTGCTATATTTTTTAATGTGAAATTAATTCTTCAGGCTTCGCACTCAATAATTAATTTTAAAAAGTTTTAAAAAAATAAATATATTCATTTCGTTGCTTATAACTTCAATTCTAAATTTTTCTGAAATTCAATTATTTTCCAAACTTTTAGTTAGAATCCTTCGAAAATCTGTTTGTTATTTAAAAATAATTTTTAAAAGGGAAAAAATAAAATTCTTTAAAATTTATTTTAATTAAATTTGACAAAAATTACAATTAGTAGAAAATTTAAAAAACTAATTTTCAATTTTTACGAGAATTTAACTATATTTGAAAATTTTTAATTACAATTTTTTCAAAGACTAAGTATTATTTTTCAAAATTTCAAAAAATAAATTATTGAAAATTGAATAATTTTTATTAAATAAATATTTAAATACTTATTTTCATTGATTTTTCAACAGAAATTAAAATTTCTAATAAATTTAAACTAAAAGCTTTTTAAAATTCATTATTTCTTCTAAAAATTACAACTGTAATTCTTTCAAATATCAATTGAGGCCTTGGATCCAATAACTCGCCCGACGCTCGAAGGCACGCGCTAATACCAGCCGGGTAGCAGTGAGTGGCCCAGAGGCGCTCACTGCTCACTGACTGGCAGTTGCGCGTTCCTCCGAGCGTCGGGCGAGTTATTGGATCCAAGGCCTCAATTGTTTTTTTTTTTATTTTTTAAATATAATTATTCAAAACTTCAATAAGTTTCTAGAAAAATAATAGATTAATAATTTTTAAAAATAATTATATTTCAATTTTTTTTACAATTTTACAACAAATTAAATTTTTCAAAGATTAAATATTTCGAAATTTAATTATATATAAAAATTCTTATACTTCAACACTTTTAGTAGTAGTAGTAGTTTATTATGTTTTGAACCACAGGTTCATACAAAAGAGTCTCGCTTGAGCCATTTTCGTTGCTTATAATTTTCTTATATTATGTTTTACATTTGGTTTTTAAACACACTTTTAATAAAATAAAATATTGATTTGATATTTTCAATGTCTGGAGAATTCAGAAGATCAATACAGCAGTCTTTAATTATAGATATATCCTCATTATCGCATATATATTTACATCTATCATTCCTGTACATTTCACATTCTATTAACAAATGATAAAGTTCTCTCCCCTTCAACACCGGTTCTCCACAGCAGGAAATTTTTTCTAATTGTAATACTTTTTTATTATGTACTAATCTTAAACTGTATTTATTTACTAATCTTATTTGTGCAAAAATTTTGATAAATGGAAGTGGTACTTTATTTCTTAAATAATTTTGCTGTCCCTCTCTCATAGAGAGATGAGGGAGTAGTTGTAGAGAGCCGGAGTTTGAGAGAGAGTGCACATCTTCAGCGCGCAGAAAGGTTTCGTAGAGTTTTAAAAGTCGCTCTTTGTTATTCTGTACAAATTCGAGGTTCCAAGATATTGTTTCTCCTATAGTTTCAAACATTTTTTCTACTTGGGAGCACCAATTGTATTTCATATTATTCTTTTGTGATTTTGTTAAACTAATTAATCTTAGCAAGCAAATTTTAGGGTATCTATCATCATTCATTTTTAAAATTTTTTCAATTAAATTTAGTGTCAATTTGAAAACTTTATATGATAGTCTTAGCACTCCAATCTCCAATCTAACTGCATAGTTAGGCGTACTCCGGGGTAGTAAGAGCAGTTTTTTATAAAATGTTACTTGAATTTTTTCTATTTCATTAAGATTTCGAAGGCCCCACACCTGTATAGCATATAAAAACGTGCTAGTTACTAGACTGTTAAATAGTTTTGGGATTGGTTTCCATGTGTTTAGCTTCATACTATTTATAAGTGACAGTGTAGAATTTATAGCCAGAGACGCAGATGAAGAAGCATTCCTTAAGGCCTCTTCAGAAGACGAGGTATAATATTGCGGAATTCCTAAATAAGTATATTTTTTAACCAGTTCTATCTTTTTGTTACCATACATAAAATTAGTATTTTTAATTGATAATCGACCTCCTTTTTTGTAAATAATAATTTTTGTTTTTTTTTCATTAACCTCTAAGCAATTTTTGATACAGTATTTCAGAAGAGCTCTTAATAATTTATTTAATGCTGCGGGGGAATCCGCAAACAATGCAATGTCATCTGCGTATGCCAGTAAAATAATTTCATTTTTATGCCCCATGGAAACCCCCCTTATTCCTTCCGCCCTTAAAAAGTCCTCTAAATCAGCCATAAATAATGAAAATAGAATAGGACTGCTCTTCTCTCCCTGGAGTAAACCTCTAGGTACTTTTACAGGTGTAGAAGTTTCCCCATCGTTTTGGACAGCAACAGTGGCTTTTGAATAAAAATCTATTAAAATTTTAGTTATTTTATAGCCCATTCCCATTTTGTACAATTTTTTCCATAACAAACTATGCGAGACGGAAGGAAAAGCATTACTGAAGTCGACAAATAATGTATACAATTTTCCTCCGTTCATATTGAGCCGATTCTGAATTAATGCATTAAGAACGAAAATATTGTCTATGCAACTTCTATTCTTCCTAAATCCAGATTGAAATTCTGGAATTAGATTTTCCCTTTCGGCCCACAACACAATCCTATCAGTAATCACATGTGTAAATACCTTTGTTATGCAGTTAACTAAAGCTATCGGGCGATAGTTGTTAGGATCACTCATATCGCCTTTTTTATATATCATTTTTAAGTTTATTTTTCCCCAGTTTTTCGGAAATTTTTCTTCATGTAAAATTTGATTAAAAAGGAGACTCACATAATTAATCCAGTTCTCTGGGAGATTCTTTAAAAATTCAAAGGTGACTCCATCTGAGCCGGGAGATTTGTTGTTTTTACTATTTTTTAAAGAGGAGATAATTTCTTCTTTCGTAATATTTGTTTCCAATAATTCGTTGTAACTTTTAAAAGGGATTTCAACTATTTTATTTTCTGTTTTATCTATATCATTTAGTTGGAAAAATTCACTAAAATATTTATGCCATGTATCTGTGTTAATTTCATTTTTTGTGTTATATTTATTTCTAAAAGAATTTATTATTTTCCAAAAACTTTTGGAATCTCTAGAAGATATTAATTGGTCGAGAACTAGATTTTTGTGTGTCTCCTTTTTTTCCAATTGTGTATTGTAATATAATTTTTTTATCCTGTAATATTCTTCAATGTTTTTTTCACAAACAAAATTATCTTTTTTACAATTTTTTAACATTAAATTTACATTTTTTTTTAGCAATACACAATCTTTATCATACCAAGTTTTTGAATGACCTGTTTTTTTATTTTTTTTAGATAACATTCCAATAGAGCATGCTTTTTTTGTTATTATGGATATCAACTCCTCCGAGGTTTGATCGATATTTAGGGGATTAGTTGGTGTACTGCACGGAAGAGAATTCATTGCTTCAAAATATTCAGGGGCTAGATCACTTCTCCATTTTATTTTATTTGCATGTTGTCTATATTTTTCTTTTCTTTCTAGTGTAATAAAAATTGGAAAATGATCCGACCTCGTTACTATCTGGATTACCTCAAAATTTTTTATTTCAGGGATCGCGAACAAATTTACCCAGCCAAGATCAATTGTCGATTTTCCTTTATTTAAAATATAAGTGTATTGACCAAGGTAGTCGCCCGGTGATCTACCATTCAAAATTATACATCCATTATCCTCCATGCACGACACCAACTCTTCTCCTCTCTTATTAATACATTTATCTAGATTAGATCTAAATGGTGTAATATGTGCATTTTCCGGAAACATTTCCTCGCGTAATTGATTTAAGTCACCTACTCTAGCATTAAAGTCGCCTCCAAAAAACAAAGGTAGATTCGGATAATCATTATTGATCAAAGTAAATATATCATTCAATTCTGAGTAAAAAGTATCAAGATTTAAATCTGGTTTTAAATAAGTGACTCCGAGTAAAAATTTGAAATTTGTAGAGTTAATAACAGCGAATATAATTTGTTCAGAAATTTTAATTACTTTATATTTATATTTACGAGAATTTAGCGCTATGAGTAATCCTCCGCTCGCCCTTCCTCTCTCTGCCGTTCTCACTGCTTGGCTCGTAATCAAACTAAAGTTGTAGGGGGGGCAGTATTGGGGGGGAGAAATCAACCATGTTTCTGTGACACACACAATATCGTTGACATTAAGAAGTGTGGTAATATCCATCCAGTTAGCCCATCCTTTCGCGTTCCAGAAGATTATTCTAGGGTTAAGTTCGTCCGAGATGAGCTATGTTTTTTTTGTAGAGATCGGTTTTGCGGTGTGGTTCATCATAGGATTCAGCTTTTGTGGAATTAGAGGTGTTTTAAAAGCGTTTTCAATTGTGTTGACCTTGGAAGTTTTTTGTTTTTTATGAAGTGTGTTTTTAGAACCCTTTGGTCTTCCTCTTTTTGTCCCGCTAGCTGTGGAGGATAAAGATGTGGTGGACTCATCACTATCTGAATTTTCTGCTGATGCATTCTCCTCTGTGGTTTCTATTGATCCTATTTTTCTTTTAATTTCTTCGGCATCCAGTATTTTCCCATCTACTGAAATTTTTGAGCCTCTAATGTATGCGACCTTTCCCTTTTCAGTTAAGAACTCTTTATATTTTAGTAATATTTCAAAGTTTTTTCGTCGTCTATCCCTCTCCTCTCTTGAAAGGTCATTAGCGATGCTATAGTTCAAATCCATTAATTCTTTCCTATTTTGAAAGAGTAGAGATTTCCAACTTACATTACTAAACGTAATCAAAATCGGTCGTGACCCTTCAATTTTTCCAAGTCTTTTGACCTCAGTGATGGCGACAGCTGGTATATTTTTATTTACCTTATGGACAATATCTGTTATAGTATTATGAAGGTTTTCATTTTCAAGAGCGGTATCTGGCACTTTGTAAATCACTACATTTTTACTTCTTTCTTTTTGCAAAATAAAGTTCAGTTTACTTTCGCATTGTAAAACTCTTTCACTTAACACTTTATTCTCCTCTGAAAGAGAATCATATTTTTTTTTTAAAGATTTTCATATCTGTCTTTAAAGTTTTATTATCACATTTTATTTCTTGTATATTAGAATCCATAGAGTCTAGTTTAACATTCGTTTCTTTCACTTGCTTCTGAATTGAGAGTAGAATTTTTGAAAGCCCTTCGGGCTCTATAGATGAAGGTAGATCTTCAGAATCCATGTTTGACATTGCACTTTATGGGAATTTACACAGAACACATACTGCACATATTACTCTTAATGAGCAACCATTATTTGAATGCAAAAATAAATTATTGATAGAATAATTGATTATTTCTTAAAATCTAATTCTTATAAAGAATTTTATCAAATTTTTTGAAAATATTTGAATTCTTTTGAAGAATTTTAACAAAACTTTTTAAGAATAATTACATTTTTTAAAGAATTTGATTAAAATTGTATTAAAAATAATTGAATTCTTGCGAAGAATTTTTTAGACTTTTTTATAAATTGAATTTGTTTTTTAATCATTTTATTAAAATTTAAAAGAATAATTCAATTAGGATTTCGATTAATTTAAATAAAATTTTATAAAAAATAATTTAATTCTTGGAATTAATTTTATTATATTTATGCGAGAATATATTAATTCTTATAACAAATTCTACGAAAATTTTTGGAAAAAAAGGGAATTTTTTTAGACGAATGTTATTAAAATATTTTAAATAATTATTGATTTCTTTTGAAAAATTCTCAAATTCGCAATAAAAATAAAAAAGTAGCTTTTAGTGTCACGAATTTAAGAAAAAGTAGTAAATAGTAGATGAGTGTGAAGCCTGAGATTCTTGTAAATATTAACGAATTTTTCTTTCTTATTTTGTAAAAAAAAAAATACTAACTGGTGTTGGTCGACTTCCTAAAAAATTAAGATCTGCATTTTCCCCAAACAAGTAGGCTTCCGGTTGTGGTGTGTCAAATCTTTCACCTCCCATGATAAAGTGGCTTCCAAAATAATTACCTAATTTGTTTAAATTATTAAAAAAAAATTAAATAATTAAAATTCCAAAGAGAATAAAAATCTATTCAAAATTAACTTTTAATTTATAATATTTCAATTATTTCATTTCATCTAATATAAAAACAATTAAATTTTCTCAGTAGCAAAAAGAAAAACAAAGGAATAAAACGATTATGACCTTGATAATGATTTGTTTAATTTAATAGAAAAAGAAATAAATACTTTATTTAACATTTTAGTTTCTATTTAAGCAAAATTTTAATGCGAACAAAGAACATTGAGAAAAAAAATCTGTCAATAGAAAGTAAACAAATGTAAAAGAAATAAAGAGGAAATGTCAAAAAATTTACGAAACATACTGACCAGAACGAGGAGGATATTTGTATGCATGATTCGAAACAATGTCAACTTCCTCAACGCCAGCATTTTGTCGGCTCGTTAAGGATCCCATTTTTTTCTGTCACTGCAATTTCTTTCTTTTAAATTGTAAGTGTATCAATAATTTCAAAATTACTTTAATGTATTTTTATACTAATCACAACAAAATACCATTTTCAATCATTTCTTTATGACCTGCGGGAGGTCAACTGAAGTTAGCTATAATTAAAGAGAAATTTCTTATTTTCTTCTCTATGAAGTTGTATGCAAGTTGAGAATGCAGATATGGGTAGCTGCTGTCAAAATATAATTAATTAAGGCTTCTGCACAATGTTTCGGTGACGTCGCAGGGACAACAGAGCAGACGACACAATAAAAAATTTTTATCTTTATTTTTATCCCTTTATCATTTTTACTCATAATTTGGACGTGAAACACGTTTGTTGACATGAAATAAAAATTAAATGTGTTTTATTAATTAAATGTGTTATGTATTTGATTCAATTACATTGGTAAATTCTCTGAATTTGTAATTAAATATAACTTTATAGGTTAGGGATGTTTGTTTACCACAATAATTTGAATTTTTTAATAATATAATAAATAATAAATAAAATATAATCATAAATAAAATGCGTACTGAATATTGTTTAATAATACTGTCAAAATGTAAAATTCACTTTGTAAACAAATACCTCCAACATCAAAATTTATATTTACATCTTTACACTATTATGATTTTTCCACGATTTTTCAAAAATTTCAATTCAAATTCTTCTGAAATTAGCTAAAGCTTTTGATATGTATTAATTAATTATTAAAAATAGTGTATTTGTAGAAACAATTTAGTAAAAAACACTAAAAAAAATTGAATTTTGGCGAAGGTACAAATGATTGCAAAAATTCAATTATTTTCATAAATAATAAACTTTTTTACAGGGATTTTAAAAATTTTTATTAAAATTCGGGAAAAGAATTCAATTATTTGAAAATTTTAATAAAGTTCTTGGTCAATTTTCAATTATTTTTAAAAATTTTCCTGAATTTAATGCTTTTCAATATTTAAAATTTCAATAAAATTTTCGAAAAAAAATTTACAGGAATTCAATTATTTACAAATTTTTTATAAATGTCATCGCAATAATTCAATTATTTTCATAAATATGTAATTAAATTTTTTACAGTAATTCAATTATTTTCGTAAATAATAAAATTCTTTTTACAAATTTAATAATTTTCATAAATTTATATTTAAAACTCATCTCAGAATTTCAATTATTTTTAATACAATTTTAATCAAATTTCTTCAAAAATGTAATATTATTCATAAAAATTTTATTAAAATTCGTCAAAAGAATTTAATTATCTGAAAATTTGTTGATAAAATTCTTTATGAGTATTCAATTTTGAGAAACATTCAAATATTCAATAAATTATTAATTTTTGTACAGTTCAAATTTTAGATAATAATTGAATATTAGAATCACTAAAGCTTAAATTTTAAGAAATAATTGAATTTTTAAAAGGTTACAAATTAAAATTTTTGGAAATCTGTATTTTTCAATACTTTTAATTAACAATTCTTTAAGACAATCTATTTTCAAAAGTTTTAATTCCAATTCTTTTGAAATTATTTGAACTTTTTTTTTCTAATATTAATATTTAATTGAAGAATGTTCAAATAGTCAAAATGTCGTAAAATTGAATTGTAAGCAAATGGATTTGAAAATTCTCAAAGAACTTTTTCAAAAATTATTAAATATTACTGATTTAAAGAAGAATTTTGGTTAAAAATTGTACAAAATCTCCTTAATATTTAAAAGTATTATATAATAATTTATAAAGTATAAATATTTAATTAATCATAATTCAAGTTCATAATTTCCAAATTTAATAGTATAATTATTTCTGATTGCAGTTTTTGGCCCCCATGAATACAATAAGGGTGCTGGAAATGTTTGTAGTGATTATGCGTTTCCTTGACAACATGTTTCCGAAGAACTTGACACAAATATAGAAAACGAGCTAAATGTTTGTAACACGTGCATTTTATTTAAACTGTAAATTATCATTAATTTACAGTAAAATACTAAAATCTAAGTTTTCAACATATAATCTCAAGACTAAGGAAAAAGACTCAATACAACAAGGTATTTCTTATTTAGAAATAAAGAAATTTTTTTAAATTCAACAATATAATATTTCATTAAATTCAATTAATAATATTTTAGAACTTGGAAATGGGTAACTGTGTACGAATAACGATCGAAGAATTTCGCCGTAGAAGATATCCACAAAAGTATATATTTTTATTAACATAATAATTAATATCTACTTTAATTTTTTGATTTTAAAAAAAATTATTATTTTTCAGAACTATTGTTTTACTCATGACTGGAATTGACAATGCTGGCAAAACTTCGGTTCTGAATCGAATTAGCGGTAGTAAGTATTATTTATTCTTTAATAAAAAATATAATAATAGTATAAAAATATTTAAAAATAAATTTTTTTTTAATTTCAGACGTAAGTCAAATTGTCTTGCCAACAATTGGATTTCGTACAGTGACATTAAAATACAAGACATGTAGAATAAAAATTTATGACATTGGAGGAGGACCGCATATTCGTTCTATTTGGAAAAACTATTACAGTGATGTGTGGAAATAATTTACTTTTATTTAAATTTTAATCAAAAAAATTATTTTTTACTTTTAAAAATAATTTTTTCGAATTATTTACAATTTCTTTCTTTCTAGGTTCATGGATTAATTTATGTCGTGGACGCTAGTGATTTGCCACGACTTACTGAAAGCAGGGAAGTTTTAAACGATGTCTTAACGCATGTACATATTTCTGGAAAACCAGTTTTACTGTAAGAAAAAATTATTTTTGCCATATAAGATTTCGATTTAAATATTTTACATTAGAATTCTTTTTTTTTTTTTTTGAAAATAAATGATTCTTCATCAAAATCAAATCAAAATCATAATTTGACAATATTTAATAAAAATTTAATTTTAATAATAAAAGAAAAATCTTTTAACAGATTAGCAAATAAACAAGACCTAAGGGGAGCAATCGACGAATTAGATATTGTCGATAACTTGAATGTAGAAGAGTTAGCAAATTCGATGAAATGTCCAACGAGAGTGGAAATTTGCTCTTGTGAAGACACACATATTAAAGAAATTGCAATTATTGAAGGATACAGGTAAAATAATCTCCATTATATAATAATAATCATCGAGATATTTTGTTCTCAAGTGAAGTTAGGATTTCAAAAGGTTTTACGTTCAAAGTATTTTGAAATTTCAATTTAAATAATTCAAATATCGTTGAATTCTACTAAGAATTGATTTAAAAGAGATAGATTTTTTAAAAATTTTAATTAAATCTTGTTTATTACAGATGGTTACTCGAGACAATTCTGAGACAGTACAACACTTTAAATAGTCGAGTAAAACGAGCTGAAACTCCAAAATACAGGAAATTATCCGCAAAGTCTTCCTTCCTATCAAAAGCAGGCAGATCCAATCCTTTCAAACCCATAAGGGAATTTCTCAAAGATCGGGTAAGTAAATATATCAAAACAAGTTTTTAAATCATGAAAATTTACAATATTTAACAAGGAGGTAAACAAAAAGAGATTGATAAGAAAACAAAAGAAAAAATAACCAGGGTGGTAACAAGTTTCAGTTTATCAATTTTCCTGACAATTTACAGACATTACATTATTTTCCCTGACAAAATTCTTTTTACATACATAAATATGAAAGTTTACGGAAAATGAGTAAACTTTATAAATTTTAATAATTACAATTATTTTCTACAATTTTTAACTAAGCTTCATCTCTAAAAGAATTTTTTAAAATAATTTTTTTTCGTAAGTTCTTCTAAAATTCAATTATTTAAATACAAAAACTCAATTTCTTATAATAATTGTAACTGTAAAAGTTATTAAGATATAATACCTATTTTCTAGATATTATAAAGAACTTCTTAAAATTAAGTTTTTAAAAATATTTTTAAATAATGTTAGAAAGATAATAGTTTTTAAATGAAAAAATTTCCAATCAATTAAAATTTGGTAAAAATCTTTCAAAAATAATTTAATTTTTGAAAAATATAAATAAAAATAATCAAAATTTTTTAAGAGTTTAATTATAAATATCATGATTTCTCCGAAATTTTAAGTTTACAGTCTTACTTTGTTCAAAGATAATTCAATCTTAAAAAATTATGATAAAGCTTTTCTAAAAATTAGTTTTTAAAACTATTTTAATGTAATTTTTCGAAAATAATTGAATTTCTTAAAAGTATTTTTGTACCTATAATTTAAAAAAACTAATTAATTTTATGATGAATTTTAATTAAAAATTTTGATCATAGACTTTTTTTCTCTAAAATATTGTTTTTTTGTATGTATTTGAATTTTCGGAAATATTTAATTGAAAATACTGAAAATATTGAATTTAAAAAAATTAGAAGCTAATTTTTCATTAATTTTCATTTTTATGAAAAACATTTAAAGATTTTTTATTAAAATTTTTAATAATTCAATTATTTTAAAAATTTGCAATTAAAATTCTTGAAAAGTTGATTTTCAAAAATTTTAACAAAATACTTGAAAAAATTAATTATTTTCTATTATAAATTTTATCAAATTTCAATTATTCAAAAAAAATTTTTATTATCTGTATCAGATATATTTGAAAAATTAAATTATCTTAAAAAATGATTTAAAAATAATTTTTGAAAGATTTGCCCTGAATAACATTTAATTTTTTTTTTTTTTTTGATTATTTGAAAAACTACCTAATACGTTCAATCTAATAAATTCTAACAATTTTCAGAACTCCGTAGCACCGACAATTGAGTAATTATTTCCAGCAGAATGCCAACAAATTTTTCCAGAGACTGAAATAATTTTTATACTAAGAAATAATTTCTTACAATATATATATGTATATGTATATAAATCTCAGGGTAATTTTTATACTTAAGGAGAAATATTAATGTTGAAAAATGAAAGTAAGATTTATAAATGTACAGAGAAATCTATTACTATAAAAAAAATACTAAAATGTAATAAGATTAATCTTAAAAATGATTAAAAATCTATTAATGAAATAGAGTAAATTAATAATTTTAGTTTTTTTTATCATGAAGGCAAAAAACTGGCTGTTAAAGAGAAAAGGAGAGAGAGAGAGAGAGTTTGTAGAAAGAAAACTGAAACGTTTCAAACAACGAAGTATATTTAATGACAATGAGACGAGATAATTGATCAAGATTTGTTTCGCATTAACATTTTTTTAAAAATTTTTTTCTCCCCCCTCAGTAATCATTCCTTCAAAAATGTAATAGCGATTAGTACAATATTTGTAACAAAGAAACAACAGTCACTCTTTTTTTAATTTTATATAATAATTACACCTATGTACTTTAAACAGAGAGTGGTTTACACTTATTGAACCTATCTGTACTTTTACTTTGTACAGTTATAAAAATGCGGATAGAAAACGTTATACCTTTGGATAATGTAAATTAGTGCTTCTACCCTTTTTTTTATTGTTGTTGTGTATCAATGTGTGTGTGTTGTTTGAAATATTTACCTAAATTACCGATTTTCTGACTAAGCTTCAATTTGTAATTGAGATAATAAATCTTCTACTACTTTGATACCTTCATCTTCATCCACTTTCGATTTGTATAAATCATCCAGCATTTTTATAGCCCATTCACTCAATTTTATTGCTTCTTTCTTTTTCGATGCCGTACTTCTCACTGACGAGGCGATATGATTAGTTGCCTGTAATAGATCATTTTTTTATTACTTAATAATAAAATAAATAAATAATGGAATTTATAACTTTAATTAATTAATTAATTATTAACAAGTATTTTTTGAAAATTTACCAATAATAATCCATAAAGAGCTCGAATATTGCTTGGATTCAATTTGATTGCCTGACAGAAATACGATTTCGCTTGCTCAATATTTTCAAATCCTCCCTGAAAATATAGAAGAAATGTTTAAAGAAGAAAAATTAATTTAATAAATTTATCACTTTATAGGTATTATGTTTTATGTATTTCAAACCTGAGAATATTTTATCTCCGCGTATCGCTGATAAATTAAATGACTATGGGGATTGTGCAGTATAAGTTCTTCCATACAAAATGCTGCCTTGGAATAATCTTGCTCTTGTAAATATAAATCGCATAATTCGTGCCAAGCCTCTTGATCGCTCATGAATCTGACAAAGTTTATAATTAATTTTAATTCAATAATAAAACAGTGAAGCTTTTAATTTAAAAAAAAGTAGAAATTAAAAATAATAAAAAAAGTCATTTAATAAAAAAAGGCAATAAATTGATATAAACATCAAAATGTTTAAAAGTGGAACAAATTTTGGAACACATACTTCTTAAGATATTCCGTGAGCTCCTTAATAGCTTCCGGTATTTGTCCCTTTGCTTTTAAAATTGCAATTCGCCTTTTTCTTGGAGCTGCATTTGTTTCATCTCTTTTAATTATTGAGTCTAATACTTCCACTGCTTCGTCATACCTAAAAAAAAAAAATAGATGAATTAAATTCATAATTAGCTTTTCTTATTTGAAAATTAACAATTACAGGCCTCGGATCGATTTTGAGACGAAAAAATTAGTCGCTCTAGTCGATTAAAATTACAAAAAAGGCGAAAAAATTGTTTATTTAATTCAGTGTTGACGCAAAAATTTTATTTTGTATTTCTCTGATTATTCACAGATTTCTAAATTCAATTATTCAAAACCTGATTATTTTTGTTAAATAAATATTTAAATACTTATTTGTCAGCGGTAAATAAAATTTTAAAAACATCAATTGAAAACCTCAAATTTAATAATTTCTAAAAATTACAACTTAAAAATTCATTTATTTTATAGAATTTTTAATTAAACTTCATCTTTAAATCAAATTATATTTTAATAATTTTCCAAAAATTCTTCGAGAATACAATTATTTGAATACGAAAATTCAATTTTTAAAATAATTGTAACTGTAAAAGTTATGAAGATATAAAATTTTTTAAAAAAATTTTAAGAACTTCTTAAAAATAATTTTTTAAAAACATTTTTAAAATATTTAAAAATAAATTTTAAAAGATAATAGGGTAAGTGCGTCAATTGTGGCGGGTGCTCCAATTATAGCGACTTTGTGAAAAATACAATTATTTACTATTTTAGAATAATTTAGTTATTTGAAAATGTTTGAAAAAGTTATTTTCGACCTAACTCGATATCATTGTACGAAAAGAAACACATTTAAACTATTATTAATTTAATTATTTAATAACAAAAATTGCGCCCCGCCATAATTGGCACATTTTTATTGAATGCACGTGCTTCAGTTATGGCGCGCAACACAACCTCTAAATACACGTTATTTTTCTCGCCGTAATTGGCGCGCCAAGATTGACTCAATCGCGCCATAATTGACGTTTTTAATTTTATTGCTTTAATTTGTTTAAACAATTAATTTTTATAAAGTTTTTACTAATGTTTTATTATCTGAATGACACTAGCTTTTTGTTTAATAAGCCATAAATTTACTTCTCTCATTATAATTTTTGAATTTTCTATTTCAAAGACGGCTAAACCAGAACCGCGCCATAATTGGCACACTTACTCTAGTTTTTCAATTTTATACAATTGAAAATTTTTCATATAAATTATTGAATTTTGGTAAAATCATCTAAAAATAATTGAATTTGTGAAAAAATATAAAAGAAAATAATAAAATTTTTGTAGAATTTTTATTATAAACATGAACATGATTTCTAAGAAATTTTAATTAGTCTAAAAACGTAAATTTTATAAAATTTTAATTCACTTTTTTGGAAGATAATTGAATTTTTAAAAATTATGATAAAACAATTTTAAGAATTAGTTTTTTACAAATATAGTAATGTAATTTTTCGAAAGTAATTGAATTTCTTGAAATAATATTTGTATAATTTTTAAAAACTAATTAATATTTAAAAATTAGTGAATTCTATCAACAAATTTTCGTTAAACTTTTCAAAAATAATTAAATTTCAACAATTATTTTGTATTTAAATTTATGCCCCGTTTATAATTAAAATAAAAAAAAATAAAATTTAATAACAAGAAATTTTATTCAAATTCTATTAAAAATAATTGAATTTTTCCGAAATATTTTATAACTTATGAAAATAATTGAATTTCAACAAATTTTTAAAAGTATTTAAATGTCAACGAGGAATTTTATTAAAATTTTTTGAAAATAATTGAATTGTGACGAAGAATTTTACTACCATTTTTGAAAATAATTGAAATCTTTTGAAGAATTTCAATAAAATTTTTAAGAATAATTTCATTTTTCGAGGAATTTATTGAAAATTGTATTAAAAATAATTGAATTGTTGCGGCGAAGTTTATTAAACTTTTTAAATTAATTGAATTCCTGAAAAGAATTTTATTATTTATAAAAATAATTGAATTCTTGTGAAGAATTTTATATAGAAATCATTTTAAATAATTGTTTTTTTTTCAAAAAATTTTGTGAAAATTTTATTGAAAATATTAGAATTTCACAGAAGAATTTTATTATTTATGAAAACAATTATATTCTTGAATATCTTTTAGACGAATTTAATTTAAATTGTATTGAAAATAATTCAATTGTTACCTATATGGAATTATATTAAATTCATTTTAAAAAAATTGAAGTCTTTCGAGAAATTTCATTAAAATTGTATTGAAAATTATAGAATTTCTGTAAAGAATTTATTAAAGTTTTTGAAAATAATATATAATAATAATTAGTTGGTTAATTAGTGAATAATTGAATTTTCTTAAATTTTGAATTTGAAATTGTACAAAATTTGCTAGTTATTTATAAAAATTTCTAACAATACTTTTATAAAATTCAATTATTTTTTGAATTATTAATTAAAATTATTCGCTAAATAATTTATAAATATTTATTTTCTTTTAAAAGAATTAAATTATTTAAAATAAATTTAATATCAATTTTGTAAAGTTTAATTATTGTTAGAAATAGATAGAATTTAATGATAAATTAAATATTTTAAATATTTATAAAGGCTGTTGAATTTAAAATAATCAAATAAAAATAAGTTTTTATTAATTAATACGATTATAAATTAATTATTAATTAATTACGATATTAACCGATTTAACCAGATCAAATATAGTTTTATTCTGATTTAAATCGTTATTTTCAATAATTATTAATTAGTGGTATATGCATTTTTTGAAAATGGTCGAAAAAATCCAAATATCCGAATAAAATAACAAGAAAAATTTGTTATATTTAGTTCACTTACATTTCTAAAGCTTCTAAATGCATTGCATGATATTTGTGAACTCGTAGACTTCCAGGAAACTCATTCATCAGAATTTTTAAACATTGTTCGGCCAAGGCAAGACGATAACAATCTAAAGCTGCTATGCAAACTTGCTCCAAAACCAAGTATTCTAAAATATATATTTCTTTTTTACCAATTCGTGACAATTTTTAACATATAATTAATTCAGAAATATAAATTATAATCCAAATTAATAAAAAAATTGTCGATTATTTAATTATATTGAAATATATAATTGATTGATTGATTGATTGATTTTCTAATTTATATTTGTTGTAATTTAATATTTTACCTATTTTATTAACATCAATTTTGTATTTTTGGATGTTTTAATTAATTTTCTAAGAGATATAAATTTTCTTTTTTTCAATTTTTCAATTTATCTTTTTGTATTTATATAAAGTAAAATTTTGTTACAATATTGACAAATTACACTTACTCTCATTTCCAAGATTATTTATTTTCGATTTCAATGTCGATTCCCATAAGTCAACAACATCCTTACTTTTACGTTCAGAATTCTCTCGCCAAATTCGAAAGATGTCACGAACTTCTACAATATTAGTAAAATATCGTAATTGTTTATATAATAAAACTAATAATTAACAGAAAATTAGTTTCAAGAGAAGCTTATTGATTGAATATTTATGAAAAAGAAATTATAAGGTCAAAACTTAAAAAATTGGAGTAAATTTAAACTTTTAAGATTCGAATAAATAATTGTATTGATTGTTGAAAATAAAAGTGTTAACTAATTAATAAGCAACAACGTGGCTTTAATATTCTGTTGTTGGGTTGTTCTTATTCCAATTATCAATTCTCAACTAAAGTTAATATGGAAAAGTGTAAGTAAAAGAAAACTTACCTGTCCAGCTTAACTCATCATAATTCGAGTTCATAATTTCAAAATTTAATAATAATTATTCGTCTAAAGCAAATGTAACAAATATAACAAATATAACAAATTTCGAAAAATCTGTGGATTTTAAGCTCGAGATGTCAAAAATTATGGTTAATTTTCTATGTTATCCTTGTTAGAAAACATAAATAACAAATCTATAATTCTTTATTAATATCAGAGTTAATAATCAATGAATTAATAAACAAATTAACAAAATATTAACTGTAAAATTGTTCTACAATCAATTTTATGATTTTATTGCAATATCCTTTTAACTTTGATGACAACTGCACTAAATAGATTTTTTAAGGTTAGGTTAGAATCAGGATTGCCAATATGGCGCCAATGCATAGTTTTGAAAATAAAAATTTAAAATAAATAATAATTTAAAATTAGTAAAATTTTTTAATATATAAGTGATTATTATATTATGCTTATATTACGAATTTTGTAAAATTTCTTAAAGAAGACTATTAAATATAAATAAGCTAAGAAATAAAATATTTATGGTTATTGATATAATTTCATCCATGTATGACACATCACGTGATCGATCGACAAACTTGACTTGTCTACGCATGCGTAATTACTACACAGTGTAGTAGCAATTTGGTTATTGTTGATGAATCGAAAGGCAAACGAACTGAATAAAGTGACTCCTGTGCATTTCCCTTGAAAGCAAAATCTAATTTATCATTTCGATAAATAAATAAAGTGAGAAAAAAATGGCCACAGTGTCAAAAGAAGAAAATCATAATCTTCCAGTTAACAACAGTGATATTGGCGATGCATTTGGCTATGGAAGCAGGTAAGGTTAAAAAATGCTTAGTAATTTTTATTTTCCCATCCATATTGCTTTTACCATGCATTGTGTGTATAGAAAGTCCTGTATAAACCTGTTTATGACATATAAATTTCAAGGACTAAATTGTTTTAAAATTCGTATTCTTCTTCGATTGTTTTAATAATTTTTACGTTTATTTTTGTTAAATTGCTTTGCGTAGAAATATTTTCTTCTCAAAGAGACTCTTTTGTTTACGTGCTTATTGATTTTTTCTCCAAGACAATGGAAAAACGCTTCGAGAGTAGATTTCGTCAAGTAGATGACACGAGATGAAACACTTGCTAACAATTTGTTGAGAAATTTATACATTGTAGATAACAAAAAAAAGGACTTTGTTCATTTTTCTAAAATGATTGTTGCTTTATTAAAACATCCAATTGTTATAGAAATTTATTAAAAGATCGAATTCGTTTGACAATTTATTAAATGAGACAAAAAAGTCGCTAGGAATATTTTTAAATATTTTCTCCTATTGACAATTTTGGAAAATTTGTTTTTAGAAAATTATTTTTTCAAGTACGAAATATCTATTTTTTTAATCTGTTAAATTGTGTACTTCTTTTAGAAATGCAGTGTCTCCTCTTCCAGGACCTCTTCGTACGGCTCCAACCGAGCGCTATGCGACCCACTATAATATGAGTCATGCAAAACGTGGTGTTGCTCTAATTTTTAACCATGAATTTTTTAATGTCAGCCATTTGAAACAACGCTGTGGAACGAATGTTGACTGCGAAAATGTCGTTAATACACTGCGCAATCTTGGCTTTGAAGTCAATGATTTCCACAATTTGGCTCATCGAGATATTGTCAAAAATTTAGAAAGAGGTAAAATATTTTTCATTTATGGGTGACAAATAAAATATTAAATATTCAGAAAATTTATCAAACCTCCTAGTCAAAAATGTGAAAATAAAACATAAAATTTTAACTATATTAAAAATTTTTTTTTTAATCAGACAATATTCTTATAATATAAAATAATGATTTTATCACTTGGTCAAAAATAATAATCATTAAATATTTATTTTAAATTAAACAATTGATGTTTTCAAAAAATTTTACAATTAAAGAAATTCGTAAAGAAATATAATAGAACATTTTTTTAGTATCTAATAATTTTTATAGTGTATCAGAATATTCTTTAGGGTCAGGAAAATAGTTAAAATTTTGCCTGGAAATCAGGGAAAAGTCAGAAAAAGAAATTAAATTTTTGTGTCAATCATGATAAATTGAACATATATAAATTTACCGTATAATATATTTGAAAAATAAAATGCGATCAACACGAACGTCTTAAGTTAACTGACAAAATTTATAAATATAAATGCTTAAACGTACAAAAATTGTGGGTCAATGAACTTATTATAAAAACAAAGGAATCAAATTATCGATGAAATAAAATTTTATTTCCACATTTTAACTTGGAGGATTAATACCTAATTTTCTTGATATTTTATATTATCTTTTACCGAGTAGTAAAATTCTAAACTACTATTTAAAAATTAAATAGTTACAATTGACAACGATATTATTTAATAAAAGAAAAATTTAATTGACTAAATTAATTTGAATTTATTATTTTATAAATAGTCGCAGAAATGGATCATTCAAATCATGATTGCGTGCTCGTTGCGGTTCTCTCGCATGGGGAATTAGGTTTACTTTATGCTCATGACACGCCTTATAAAGCCGATTCAATTTGGATGCATTTCACTGCTGACAAGTGTCCTTCGTTAGCTGGTAAGCCGAAATTGTTCTTCATTCAAGCTTGTCAGGGCGATAAACTCGACGGTGGAATCTCCCTTAAAGAACGAACCGAAACTGATGGAATGCCTAACAGTACATTCCGTATTCCAAGCCACGCAGATTTTCTAATTGCTTATTCCACTATTCCAGGTAATAAGTTTATAATAATCGCATATATACAACTAATTAATAATTACTGAAAATTACGATTTAAATCAGAATAAAATTATATTTGATCTGGTTAAATCGGATTATATCGTAATGAATGAAAACTTATTTTTAATTATAATAAAAATTAAATTAATTTAAAGTAATTAAATTAATTACTTCAAATTCAGGCACCTTACTGTAAATCCGAGGCTTGTTTTTTTATTATATTGTTTTAAATTATTATTATATTAATTAATCAAAAGTAATAACATTAATTATTATATATTATTAGGTATTTATATTTATTTTAAGAAATACTCAGGGCTCGAACTAGGTCCGTAAATTTGTTTAAAGTCCGTAAAAGTCAGATTTAAAAAAAAAATGATCCGTAAAGTTCATAATTTGATTGCAATAGCAAGAAAATTTCGTAAATTTAACGATATAATTATGTTCAAAAATTTTTAAAAATTCTTATCAAAATTTCAATTATCTTTATAAATAATAAAATTTTTCTTCGAAATTCAATTATTTTCAAAAATATTAATAAAATTCCTGAAAAATTCAATTATTTAGAGAAATAACAAAATTCTTCAAAGATTTTCAATTATTTATAATACAATTTTAATAAAGTTTCATGAAAGAATTCAATTTTAAATAAAATTTCTAATAACATTTTTCGAAAGAATCCAATTATTTCTTTTTAGGAATTTAATTATTTTCAAACACAATTTTTATAAAGTTTTTCGAAAAAATCAATTATTTAAAATGATTTTTCTAAAATTCTTCGCTAAAATTCAATTATTTAAAAAAAATTAATAAAGTTCTTCGTAACAATTCAATTATTTTTTAACATTTTAATATAATTCGTTGAAAGAATTGAATTGAGGCCTTGGATCCAATAACTCGCCCGACGCTCGGAGGAACGCGCAACTGCCAGTCAGTGAGCAGTGAGCGCCTCTGGGCCACTCACTGCTACCCGACTGGTAGCAATTTTTGAAAATTTTAATATAATTCGTTGAAAGAATTGAATTATTTGTAAAAATTGTAATAAAATTTTTCGTACCAAAACGATTATTTAAAAAAATTTTGTTAAAATTCTCTGCAAAATTTTAATTATTTTCAAAAATTTTCCTCAATTCAATGATTTTTAATATCTATTTCAATAAAATTTTCCAAAACAATTCAATTATTGAAAAAAAATTCAATAAAATTCAAAATAAAATAAAATTTTATAGTTCTAATTATTTTTATAAAATAATAAAAATTTTACAGGAATTCAATTATTTATAAATTTTTTTATAAATTTCTTCGCAATAATTTCATTATTTTCATAAATAATAAAATTTTCACAGGAATTTAATTATTTTTAATACAATTTTAATCGAATTTCTCGAAAAATGTAATTATTCACAAAAATTTTATTACAATTCGTCAAAAGAATTTAATTATTTAAAAGTTGATAAAATTCTTTGAGAATTGAATTTAAAGAAACATTCAATTATTTAATAATAATTTATTAATCTTTGTATTTAACTAATTGAATTCTCGTAGACTTTTCTAATAAAAATTGATTTAAAGATGAATTTCATTTCAGAACGAAAAGTTCGTAAATTGTACGATATAATTTGGATAATTTTAGAGAAATTACAAATGATTGCAAAAATTCAATTATTTTCAAAAGTAATAAAATTTTTCGCAGAAATTCAATTATGTTCAAAAATTTTTTTAAATTCTCATCAAAATTTCAATTATCTTTAGAAATAATCAAATTCTTCTCCGAAATTCAATTATTTTCAAAAATTTTCCTCAATTCAATGATTTTCAATATCTACTATTTTCATAAAATTCTTTACAAGAATTCAATTATTTAAAAAAAATTTTTGATGAAATTCTACGCAAACACTTAATTATTTTCATAAATAATAAAAATTTTACAGGAATTCAATTATTTACAAATTTTTTTTTATAAATTTCTTGGCAATTATTCAATTATTTTCATAAATAATAACATTTTTACGGGGATTCAATTATTTTCGTAAATAATAAAATTCTTTTTAGGAATTCAATTATTTTCATTAATAATTAAACTCATTGCAGAATTTCAATTATTTTAAATAGAATTTTAATCAAATTTCTTGAAAAATGTAATTGTTCTTAAAAATTTTATAAAAATTTGTTGATAATGATTATTTATGGGAATTGAATTTTAAGAAACATTTAATTATTCAATAAATTATTTATTTTTGTATTTAAATAATTGGATTCTAGTAGAATTTTCTAATAAAAATTTTTTAAAATACCTAATTGAATTTTGAAATTAATTTTCTTGAAAAAGTTTAATTGGATTTTTTTATATTATTTAAAGTTTTTGTATTCTAATATATGTATTTAATTGAAGAATTTACGAATAATTAAAATTTCGTAAAATTGAATATTGTAAACAAATGGATTTGAAAATTGTCAAAAAACTGTTTTGAAAATTATTAAAAATAATCGATTTAAAGAAGAATTTTAGTTAAAAATTCTTGAAAATAATAATTGAATTGAATTTATAGTTTTAGGTAAAATGTTCTCTTATTTGACTCGGCCTGATTATAGTTTTGTCAGTAATTGGTTCATAAATAGTCCGTAATTTTTCATTTTTGGTCCGTAAAGTCTGTATTTTTAAATACTTTCACTAGTTCAAGCACTGAATACTTTATTTATTGCTGTTCATATTCATCTGCATAGTTTTAATAATTTAACATTGAAAGTACATTTCTTAACATAGTTTAATTGATTTTTTGTAAAGGTTTTTATTCCTGGAGGAATACAACTCGTGGCTCTTGGTTTATGCAAGCTTTATGCACGGAATTCCGTGAAAATGGCAATCGTTACGATCTCTTGACATTATTAACATTTGTCTGTCAGCGTGTTGCAATGGATTTCGAGTCAAATACACCAGACAATGAGAATATGCATCAACAAAAACAAATTCCATGCATTACTTCAATGCTCACTCGATTGGTGAAATTCCCACAAAAACCAACAAATGGAATTGGTTCATAAATTCTAAAATTATTCAATATATTTTCATTTAAAACAAAATTGATTGGAATTGAATCAATATTTTTTTCTCTAATTTCACAGTGGCATGAAAATAATTCGATTTTTTATTTTTTTTGGAGAAAGAAGAAAAAATTTGGTAATCTTTTATTTACTTCAAATATTGCTATAATTATTAGAAGAAATTCTTTTTTAAAGGAATTTTTTTCCTTATTTCAAATTGCGACAAATATCTAAATGTGAAAGTAAATAACTTATAAAACTAAAATTTAAACCTTCTTGGTTAAATATTATAAAAGTATACCATTGTCTTTCATCTTCATTGAAGAAGAATAAAAATATTAAAAAATACAAGAACAAAATAGAGTAAAAATAGAAAATCTGAGAAAATCTTCTCTAGAAATTTACCGAATTATTTTGCGCTTTCAATGTCTGTATTGCCATAAGATTAAATATCTATTATATATGCAATTTTATATATATATATAAAAATTTAAAAAAAAAAATTTTAATAATTGTAATTGACTTATATTCCGTAACTAAATTGAAAATCTTGAAAAGCGGATAGAAGGGAATTAAATTAAAAAATAACTACATATTCTTAATCCTCTTAATATTAAAAAAAAAATAAAATAGTGCAATTATAATGTCAATTTTACCCAATACTCTTAAATTGTGATTTTCCTAAACCGTGTAGTAAGATTTTTTATTACTATACTTTTTTTTCCTTATACCATTTGTAATTTTTCAAAGTTTTGCATTTATAACTTTTGTACAACGAAGGCATTTAGAAAAATTTATTATTGTGAATAAGAGTTGAATCTACTTAAATGTTTTGCTCAGAAAAAAGCCGTATGGTGCTTTATAATGATTTAAGTTAGTTAATCATTTTTATGTTAAATAGATTATAGAAGTACTACTTCAAAGTTGATATGAAAAATTTCTATTTCTATATTTAAAAAAGTTTTTACTTGATTTATGATTAAAATTCTACGGCTATTTGACCACAGGGAACAAAGAGACCACTAAAAAAAATTAATTTCTAATCATCTCAAGTCAAAAACATTTATAAATATAGTTTATAATTTTTCTCGGCGTAAGATACCTTTCATCGAACAGCGTTATTATACATATATATTGTGAGAAAATGCAATAGAAAAAGATTTCATTTAAAATTTTTGATAAAAATGTTTATACTTTTTGATGGAAAATATTTACAATAATGGCATATTTTTGCGATTGCCAAAGGCTCTTTAAAACTAGACGTAGAATTTGAATGTGATGCAAAATACATTTTTTAGATGAATATATATTTAGGATCTAAAAACATCAAAGCGAAGTCGTGATCTTTTTTATGGAAAAAAAATTAATGAATGTATTTTAGCTCAACGTAGTACTTTTTATAGAATCCAAATACATACTCGTTGTATAAAAAAAAATTGTTGTTCTGTGATTTTTGAAACCTTAAAATATTCAAATTTTGTGTTAGATTCTCAATAAACACTCCGATAAATTAATGTCATTAAAATTTTTGTTTCACAAAAACTGATATTATTAATTCATGAAAGTCTTGAATAGTCTATGAATTTTCTTTCTCAAATTAAAAAATCTACAAGTAGAGTTACAGTTGAAATTTTTATAATTATTTTATTATATATTTTTATTTTTCTATTTAAATAAATTAAATATTCGAAATATTTCTATTCAAATTCTCTTACAACTTTTTGACAAGAATTGCTTTGAAAAAGAATTTTAGTTTAAATTCTAGAAAATATTTCAAGAATTGGAAGAATATTCAAATTCAAAATATTTATTAAATTAAAATTAATGAAATGTGAAAAAATTTTATTTTAATTTATTTAGGGGAGAGTGGGGCAAACCGGACCCCCCTCAATATTTCCGAAATGTCGAAATTGGAAAAAGTGTTGTTTACAAATTTAAAACAACCATGTTTAGTATACCTTATTTTTTCAATCTGACAGTTTTAGCTTGCGTTTGTGCGACGAAGGGAGCAAAAGTTTTTTTTTTTTAGTTTTTTTCTACACTTTTACGAATTTTTTCTTAAGGGCATTTGAACCATGATGACGTCACAGATTTAAAACTAATGCTTTGCACAAACTGTGACGTCATCAAGGTTCAAATCCCCTTAAGGAAATTATGAGGAAATCGTGTAATGTTTCCAAATATTAGGTCTTGGGTTTTGAAGGTACACACCTCAGGAATATTTACCACCAAAAACTTTGATGAATTTGCAAAGCATTTCTTTTTGACAAACATTTATTCTCAAAATGGGCCTGTGGGGCAAACCGGTCCGTTTTCGGTGGGGCAAACCGGCCATAGGATATTTCCATTGAATTAAAGTTTCATAACAATTATTTTTAAATAAAATGTTTTTTTCAATAAAATATTTACTTACAATGAAAAGTAATTGTCTTCCAATGAGAATTGGACCCTTTAATATTGTTTCTCTGATAATGACAAACATTTTGCTTCCTCATAAAGGAAGCCTTAGAGTCAGAATTCCTGAAAGGAGCCACCCAAAACCTTTTAATTTTCTTTTTCGTAGTAATGTGGTTATTTTAATAGTATTTTATATATATTGTATTTGAATTTATAGAATTAATCACAATTAAAGCCGAAAAATTCACACTTTTAATAAAAATTCAATTCCTTCTTCAAAATTATGTTGCTGTACAACAGGCCTGCACAAATGCGTGGCTCGCGAGCACGAGGCTGAGAGAGAAATTCCCCCTCCATGCGGGCGCTATGCCTGCTTCACTCCGCCTCGCTGCGCATGGAGGGGGAATTTCTCTCTCAGCCAAGTGCTCGTGAGCAACGCATTTGTGCAAGTGTACAATAAAATGTTGTTCTTTACTTGAAAACAAATAAAAAATCTTATTCTTTGCATAATGTTAAATTGTTTTAAAAATTTTTTAAAAATTAAATAAACTATTGATGCTTCCACCACCAGGAAGCAAATTTTTTTGCTGATCGTAAAGAGGAAGCAAAATGTTCATGTAATAAACATCTGGATTTATAACTTCTTTTCAGATAAATGACTTACGCCAACAGATAAAACAATTGCCAATAATTTTTTCAATTTTTGGATTTCAAGAATTAGGAATGACATTTATAGAGAAGGTAATAAACATAATTCTTTTGATTTTGTTGTAAATTATAAAATTCATGTTTCATATAGTTTGCAGTAACTTGCACTACAATTTTTGGTTGCATAAAATACTTTAAACAATAGTCAACTGCAAAATCAATTGATCAATGTGGATGATCTTTCCGAGAAAAGTTTTATGCCAATAATAATATCCACTACTTTGAGAATGTCGGAACCAGCCTTATTATTTGCACAAGTCTGAAGGATATGGGTTTTGATTTCTTTTTACAGGAATCTCATTAGGCCTTTAAATTATAAAATTTTTAGAAATGGTTTAAACAACTTTTCTTCTGTATATAGAAATATGCTAAAGTTAATCGATTTGTGAATAATATTTTCTAAAGAATTAAATAATGTTATTGCTTCCTTTACAAACAAGTACATTTTTTCTGCTGATCGCAAAAAGCAATCAATAAATTTTAATGTATAATGACCATCTGCAATTAAAATAAAAAATAGAAATAATCATAAAAAGAACTTAAATATGTTGTTACCTATAATAATTTTCATAGCAGCAATAATAAGGCCCTTGTTTACATTCTTTATGATCAACCTTTTCGTATGGTATATTCTTTTTGCATGTGTCGAACATTGCCATGCATCTTCCATACTTAACATGCGTAGCATTAACACACGTGTAACATCTTTGCCATGCAGCGTGACCTCTAGTTCCCTTTAATAGATCTTCTTCGTATACGAAAAAGATAGAATTATTAGGATCATTGTGATAAAAGTAATAGAATTAAAAAAAATGGGGAAATTTTTTCGTTAAAAATTATTCGATTTCGTTTAAATAATTAAAAGTAATATTATGATTGAGTACCGAGTTAAATCCTTTCATAATTTAATTGATATAAATAGAATAAATGATCATGAGAAGGTGGAAATTGATTAAAATTCAATGTGTATCGACAAAAAAGCGACGTTTTCCACACAGCACCGAAGATTTCCTGAAACTTGACAGGACCTCGCCCAGCGAGGTTAGATATATTGAGCGATATTCAGTCAACATTCATACAATATTAGGTAGGATACTATTAATTTTTAGTAGTTTTGCGAAAAATAGTGTTTTAGTCCTCTGTAAAAAATATTCAAAGTGTTTTCTGTTTTAATACATTTTAGTCCGATGAGGTTGGCAAACATTAACCAACGAAACGTCGCTTTTCTGACGATACACAATGAATTTCATTCAATTCCCACCTTCTCATGTTAAGTTTTTCTATTTATATCAACAACAATAATATATTTTTTTAATAATTGCACCATTTCCTGATCTATCATAAAATGATTTATGCTTTTAATAAGTTTTTTTGAAGGTACATAACATTATAAATTGTTTTTTAATGAATTAAAATGTTTTTAAAAAAGTGCAAAATTTAAGGTTACAATTAACTCTCTGCAACTTCTAAATAATAATATACAATCTGAAGAAATAAAATTTACAGTAGGGGAGACTATTGTAGGGCAACTTGTCCCCTACAACTTTCAATAAAAAAGTTTCTGATATTTTCGCATAAAATACATGTTTTGTCCTTTTTGAAAAATTTGTTTTCTTAACTTTTCGCCCCTTGCTGGGGCAAAATGTTAAATTCTATTTTTAGCCTACTAAAACTATTTTCTGATATAGGTGTTGCAATATTCTAACTATTATTTCCGTTCGAAAGATAATGAATTTTAACTGTTTTGACAGTTTAAGGAGGATGGTGACCAGGTGACTGTCTTTTCGGGGCAGGCGGCGAGAGGGGAATTCACATGCTTTTATATGGGATTAAAACTGCAAATACCAACTGTTTTAATATATATTTTATAAGTGAAATATGCAATACTTAAAATATTTGACATAAAAAATAGTATTTTTAATAATTCCAATTCATTATTCTTAAAAAATATTTTTAAAAATAATTATTTAATTAGGTAAAAAAATTTTATGAGCATGGAGATCGTGACAACAGCGCATTCCATATGCATGCTAGAAACAGTGTTGGTAACACTGAATAAGATTTCATTCGTATATGATTACATTGCGACGTTGCCACGTTTCTGTGTATTATGTTAGAGAGGTTAGAAAATCTGTAATTTTACGTCAGTTTACTCAATTATTTTTTAAAATTATTCCAAAAGTATTAAACTTTAAAAGAGTATGATTTTTAAAAAAAGTTTAACTTTTTTACACAAGTTATTATCAAAATAGTGCACTTCACATATAACACTCCCCATAAGAGCCCATATAAAAACATGCAATTTCAACAATTAAATTCTCAAAAATGGGACAGTAAAAAATTTTTAAAAAAATTGTTCTATAATTTACACATTGTTAACAACGAGTTTTTCCAAATTTTTAAAAAATTCTTAACATTTTTATTTGAGTCACCATCCTCCTTAACTTTTTGCCCCAGTCTCCCCTATAATACTAAGGTTAATGGAAAAAGTAGCAACAACAACTCCCCAGACAAAATTCATACTTTTACATTTATTAAATTCATCAATTTACCCATTTTCTTTATTAAAGGCTTTTTGGCTAAAAACAATAAACGTTTTCTCAATTAATTAGCAAATTTCTTAATAGAAAAAACAAAATCGTGAAGAGTGATAGCTTTAAAAACTGTGTAAAATATTTTTTCTTCCAGCCTTAAAGAGTTAAATAACTAAATTCTTTATTATAACATCAAAGAAAAGTTTATGAACTTACGACTTAAGAATTGTACATCAATTTCATGTACTAAAAGTAATAATAAAAACATCAATAATGGATAGAAATGCATTATATTTTTTGAAAATTATGTACTGGCTTGTAGCTTATATTGATGTTGATAGATATATTAATTTTAAGTAATCTGTTAGTCTACATACTAGGATAACGAGTATGTATAGAGAGAGATAAGTTGCACTACAGGCTGTATATCAAGAACCAGTACTAAATTACATTAAAATTTATTGCTATTTCTTCTAATTGTAATAACAAAAATTTATGACAAAAGCGATAAAAAAAATTTTAAACAATAAGGTGCAAATTACTACAGATAAACAAAATTTTAATAATATGATAGCGACATTTTGATGAAAGTTGTAAAACTTCATTTTTTATTAAGCACAGTTTTAAACTATATTTATGTCTAATAATTATACATTTCTTCCTCACATGCCAATTAAGTTTTATTCAAATTTTAATTTCTATTTGTTGAAAACTGATAGTGGTACAATTTTTACAGGAATTCTTTTATGAGTATAAAGCATAGAAAAGAAAAAAAATCCAAATAAAAACCAAATTGATTCAAAATCTATCCAAATAGAAAGAGACAAAAGCATTTTGATTTTAATGCCGGTCCCTGCTTTGATGAGTTACTGCGCCCATGTGGAAGAATTTCCAGAAAATGTTTCAGGAAGTTGATTCTTTCATCGGAAATTTTCTGTCATCAACAAATCACCTGATTTTCAGTACGGACTGAGTTTTTGATGATATTGACTTAAAACCGTAAATAACAATTATATAAAGTTTACACTTTATGTAATTCAAGCACCATAATTTCTCATGTATGCTAGATATGATGCTGTATAGGTGGAACCAAAATGAAGCTTAAAAGGTGCTTTAGCTTTTCTCGCATTGCGTGCATGGAAAAACGAATAAGAAAACAGCATTTTAGAAATAGGAGGAGTTTAATCATTTTTTTATTCGTCAACAGTCTTTATTTTCTTTTTAGGGGTTGAGACTAAATGTTACATTTTTAAAAATTAAATATTTTCCCCATTTTTAAATTGAAAAAGGAATAAGAAAACAGCATTTTAGAAATAGGAGAAGTTTAATCTTTTTTTTATTGGCCAAAAGTCTTTATTTTTTTAAAGGTTGAGACTAAATGTTACATTTTTAAAAATTAAATATTCTGGACATTTTTAAATTGAAAAACGAATAAGAAAACAGCATTTTAGAAATAGTTTGAGTTGGACTTTGATTTTTATTTTTCAAAAGTTTTAATTCTTTTAAGATAATAAAACTGAATGTTATGTTTTTAAATAATTAAATATTCTAAAAATTGGTTAAAATGAAGAAAGGAGTAAAATTTTTGTTTTTTATAGGTAGGAAGAGCTTGAAGTTTTTTTATATGTCTACAAATACTTGAGTTTAATAGCAACATAGAAAATAAAGACTTTTGGAAAATACAAAATAGATTTAAACTCCTCCTATTTCAAAAATGATATATATTTTCTTCTTCGTTTTTCAATTGAAAAATGTCGAGAATATTTAATCTTTATAAATATAACACTTAGTCTCTAACCCTATAAGAAAATAAAGACTTTTGTCAAATAAAACTAATTTTCAAAGTCCTTCTGATGTTTACTAAAAGCAATTTTTCTATTTGTTGCGCTCATTATCATAAATACAGAGAATTTTCAATTTTTGAAATTTAGAACACTTAGTCTCAGCCTCTACAGAAAAATTAATGGTCATTAATAATAATACTCAAACTTGTCTAATTTTTTAAATGCAGGAAAATGGATTGACCGAGTGCATAGACAAATCTCGCTGCCGCCATCTGTCATGCAGATTGCGCGCGGCTGCATGTCAACGTTTCATTACATTATCGATGTTACACACACATACATCGTGCAGTGGAACTTTTATCACTCTTTTGAAACATTAATATTTCAATAAATAAACAACTGCTTACATCAAATTATACATAAATAAAATTTAGGATTATTAATTTATTATATTCAATAGTTTTTTAAAACTATTTAAGTGTTTTTCTTTATATTTTCCACCAGCCCATGCACGCAATATGAGAAACTTGGGGCACCTAGATCACCGCATAACTTTTCATGTATGCTGGACATGATGCTCTAGGTAAATAAAGTTTAAACTTTATGTAATTTAAATCACCATAACTTTTCATGCATGCTAGATATGATGCTCTAGGTGGAGCCAAAATGAAGCTTGAAAGGTGCCCTAAGTTTTCTGTTATTGCGTGCATGGGCTAGGATGAAGATTTGGGATAGTTACTGATGATTGATCCCATTTTGACTTAACAACATGTAAACTTTATAATTATAATTCAAATCACCATAACTTTTCATGTATGCTCATAAGTCATAACTTATTATATGATGCTCGAACGCTATCAGACAATCAAAATTTTTGGAAAAAAGTCATTAAGAATTTATTTCTTCCAAATATAATCATTCTGATCATCTGGAAATTTTCTGGAGTTCCAGTAGCGACTTAACCCTACACAATCCTGAAGAATTTAAAAATTTTATTATACTTTTTAAGTAGTGGCACAAACACCCAAACGCTATCAGACAATCAAAATTTTGGGGAAAAAAGATAAAAATAATTTATTTCTTCTAAATTTAATAATTCTAATTGTCTGAAATTTACCTGAGTTCTAGTAGGGACTGAGCCTTACACAATCCTGAAGAATAGAAAACTTTATTTTATATTTTAAGTGATGGCAGGTTCACCGAAACGCTATCGCAGACAATCAATATTTTAGGAAAAAGTCATTAAAAATTTCTTTCTTTCAAGTTTAATAATTGTAATCGTCTGAAAATTACCAGAGTTTTAGTAGGGACTCGCCCTACACAATCCTGAAGAATAGAAAAGTTTATTTCAATTTTTAAGTAGTATTAGGTCCACCCGAACGCTATCAGACAATCAATATTTTGGGAAAAAGTCATTAAAAATTTATTTTTATTTATTTCATTTTTTGTTTATATCAAAGCGTGGGTTACGCACTACTCAATAAAACTTAAAATTCAAAATTATGTCAACAAATAATACATTATAGCAATAAGAAATCTGAAATTCTCAAATTATTTTGGACCCAAGCAAAAAATGTAGAAGGATTACATTTTTATTTTCATTATTTTTCAACAATTTGTTGTTTACATTTTTTAGTAGTCACTAAAGGTTAAAGAATAACCCATAATAAGTGATATTACTTTACAAATTCTGTAAAATATTTTAACTGGCCATCTCCCTCAGACTTACCCTATTTTCAAAAAATTTAATAAAATTCTTGGCAAAATTTCAATTAATTTTCAGAATTTTCCCCATTTCAATTATTTTTAATATCTCCTAGTAAACGAAAACTAATTGAAATGAATTAAGAAGAATTCACAAAGAGCTTTCGTGAATCCCGCTTTGTGACAAATACGAATTGGAGCCTACCAAAAATGTTAATTCGTTTCAATTCATTTGAATTAGTTTTTTTTTACTGGGCTTATATTTTAATAAAATTTTCCAAAATATTTCAATTATTAAAACAAAATTTTAATAAAAATTTAAGATGAACTCGATTACTTACCAGTTTTTTAATGAATTTTCTCGAAAGAATTAAAATATATTCAGAGAATTGAAAAAAATAGTTCTGAGAAATTCAATTATTTCGAAAAATTTAAATGAAATTCTTTTAAAAATTCTATTATTTAAAAAAATGTTGACAAAATTTTTTACAAGATTTAGTTAATAAAATTGCAATTTAATAAAATTCCACTATTTTCAATAAAATTCTTCTTAACAATTCAATTATTTTCATAAATTGAATTATAATAAATAATTGTAGATAATTGATAATTGTAGATAATTGCTAGATAATTGTATCAAAGTTTTATACTGATCAGTTCATTGACAATTAATAAGCATCTTTGACAATATATTGACTCTGATCAACAAAAATATCTCCATCTTCATCTATTATATTTTCATAAATGTTTGCAAAAATCTTCGAAACAATTAAATTATTTTCGTAAAAAATAAAATTCTTTGAAGCAATTCAATTATTTAAGAAATTTTAATAAAATTCTTCCCAAATAGGTATTTTTATTCTTTTCAAAAATAAAATATTTCACAGAAATTCAATAATGTAAAAAAAATTTAATAAAATTTGTCTTCAGAGTTCAATTATTTTCAATTTTTTAATGAAATTTCTAGATAAAATTTAATTATTTTTAAAAAGTTTTAAAAAATTTTTAGAAAATCTATTATTTAAAAAAATTTGAATATAATTCTTCATAAGAAACTAATTATTGTAATAAATAATAATATTTTTCTCTGGAATTCAATTATTTTCACAAATAAAATTCAGAATTGAATTTCAGAAGGTTTGAATTTGAGAATCTTAATTTCTATATAAAATAAAATAATAATGACTAAATATTTATTTAAAAAAGAAGTTATTGATGTTTTCAAATAAATTTACAATTAAAGAAATTCGTAAATAAATGTAATGGAACATTTTTTTTTAGTGAATTTAAAATATTCTTCAGGGTTAGGGGAAAAGTCAAAATTTTTTCTGGAAATCCAGGGAAAAATAAAATTAAAATTTTGTGGTAAACCTGTAGAAAAACTTAGAATTATATTGATTAGTGAATTGGCTCAAAAAATGAAAAAAGTTTAATTTACTTAAATTTGTTCTTATCAAATTTGGAAGGGCTTGATTTTTTTTCCTCTGAGAAGGACAATAAATTTTTTAATACAGTGTTACATAATATTGGTATTGTATGCGTGTAAGTCCATTTACGAGATTAATTTAGGATAATGTTGGTATCCGATGAAAGTCATATAGTAAGAAGGTTATTTCGCTGGGGAATGTGCGCTATTACTTTTTTAGCTACAGGAGAAGTACCCCTTGGTAGAGACTATAGTTGGCAGTTTTCTGATTGGTGTAGGAAAATTTTATGAAAGTTTCCATAAGCACCCTATTCCCCTCTTGGAATCTTGTTCGATTGGTGCCTTCGTCATATAATTTTTGATCCATTCCACCTATCAGAGGATTTTTTATAATATCTGTAGGTTATCTACTATATCTTTCAAACGGTGCTTGAATAAGCATATTTTTCCATTT